CACAAGCGAGTTGTTCGTGCCGCCGGCGCCCGCACCGCCCAAGCTCACCGCCGATGACGTCCCGCCCCCATGGCTGAAGCCCGCTGCCCACACATCGGAGAAAGAGAAGGAAACCCTAAGCCGGCCACTGCGTCGCGTGCCACAATCTCCTCCGTCGTCGCGCCCGCCGGCCACCGCGCCGCTCCTCTCCCGCTAACCACCGTGCGCCGCTCGCCACCATCTCCTCTGCCGTCATCTCCACCACATGCCGCAGGCTGCACGCCACCATGGCCCAAGAAGGCTAGCTCCAGGAGGAGCTCGTGGTAGGACAGGACCTGCGTTGCCGTCTTGGGCTCAGTCGGCACGGTGACTGTGGTGGGGATGGAGATCAACGAGCCGGTGACCAAGGCGGCGGGAGGTGAGCCGAAGCCCTCACGCTCATCCTCGCTAGCTCTCCGGATTGTGTGTGGTTTGAGCTCAAAGATTGTGTTCTTGAATTTGTAGAGCAAGAGGAGGAGCCGAGCTCCGCCGAGCCTGAGGTTGGCGCCACCCCTGCCGTCGTGGTCTTCTCCTCATCCCACATGTTCGCCGGAGAAGAGAAAGAAACTGTAGGAGAGAGGGGTATTTTGGTCAGTTGAAGTGCAAGGAATGGTGAATATGGCAAAGCAACGGCTTGGTATCGGTTGAAAGTGGTATTTTAACGACGCCATTCCACGGAATGGCATTGCGGTGAAACCCACTCTTGAAAGTGGCATAATGTCTAATTTCTCGAGACGCGGAGCAAAAGCAGAGGACGCTCTCTCTGGGCCGGGCAGCCCACTGGCATGGTGAGACACACAAGACCCAGTAAGCGCCATGTCTCTCTCTCCCTGCTTTGAGAGGAGATGTCAGATGAAAAGAGAAGATCGAGAAATACAAAATAGTGCATGAATAATTGAATATTAACTATTTTAAATTTTAAAAATAGATTAATATAACATTTTTAAAAACAACTTTCCTATAGAAATGTTTTTTTAAAAAAATACATGCGGAGAACAAAACAAATCTCCTCTCAATCTTAGCTGCCGAACGCAGTAGTCAGCTATACAAGTACTATTTTCTTTTGACCGGCGCAATCAAAAGCACCGTTTTCCTTTGTTCGAGAGCTGAAGAAAATAGAAGATTGAGAGAGATGAAAATCGAGCTGAGTTATTAGTATATGATTAGTTTAGTTGTATATTAATTAATCTAAACTTGAAAATGTATTAATACGATTTTTTAAAACAATTTTTCTATTAATATGATTAGTTTGAAAAATACGCGTGCGAAGAACAAAGTATTTCTCCTCTGTATCCACTGCAAAACAATACAGCCTTAGTATGACAAATTATCCGTCATCCCCCATCCGATGGAAAAACATCTCTATCTCCACCATCTCTACTACTTTAATTTAAATGTGTAATCCTTTACCCGAAATTGCTAATTGGCTCATACGCGCTAGATAAATAACTAACGCGCGTTTCAGTTTTGGCATATCATTAGCAAGGCCAAAGGCCCAAGCACACTTTTAACTTTATGTTTTTTCGTCTGACGGCGCCAGCATATGCACGTGCTAGTATAGATAGGAATTAACACAAAGGGGCAGTTGGGCAAGTGAGGCAAATCAATGTACAACGTGATTACCGCTATAATTCTTCATTATTAGTTTTAATTTTTAATTAGGTGACGTGATTAATATGAGCACTCATACCTGAAAATTTTCAACCTGTTTTTAAAACTTTCAACTTAAATATAAAAATTTCAACTCAAAATTTTGAAACTTTCAACATAAATTTTGAAACTTTCAACCCAAATTTTTGAAAACTTTCAACTGAAAATTCAAAATTTTCAACTGAATTTTTAAAACTTTCAAATCCATATTTTAAAACTTTCAAGTCAAAATTAAAATCTTTCAACGCAAATTTTGAACTCGAATTTGAAAATTTCAACTCAATTATTTATAACTTTCAATTTATATTTTCAAAAACTTTCAACTGAAAATTAAAAATTTTCATCCAAAATTTCAAAACTTTCAAATCCAAATTTTAAAACTTTCAAATCAAAATTGAAAACTGTCAACTCCAGAATTCAAAAAAAAATCAATTCCAATTCTAGAACTTTCAAGTCTAAAATTCAAATCTTTTAGTTCTTAATTTCAAAAGTTTCAACTCCGAATCTAAAATTTAAATCTTCATGTTAGATAGTACTCCCTCCATCTATTTTTGATAGTCATATTTCTAAATCTGAAAAATTTATTTTTGATAGCCATATTTCAATCCAACACCCTATCATTTTAATGACTTTCTCGGATTCAATGCATGACTCTCCATTCTTCCACACATAATTGGTTACATGGGCATTGAGAAATGTAAATATTAATGGATCGCTTGTTTACGAGGAATGACTAGTAGCATGTTTAAATGGATGATAAGTAGAATTACTTATGTTTGGTCTGTGTGCCAAGATGAAATATTACTATCAAAAGTAGATGGAGGGAGTATTTATTAGCGTTAATCATGTCATTAACGCTAATCACATTATTAGCATTAGTAGAGAGGGGCAGCTTACGCGGGTTGATCGGAGGATTTTTATTTTTGTCGCTAACAAGAACGGGAAAATCGCCAAAAGGGTAACGACAAATCACCGATTCCTCTGCTCCACGCGCTCGCGACTTGATCTTCCGGCACGTGCGCATTAGGAGCCCCCATCCTTTACCATCATTGTAGTTCTCCCACACAAAGAAACGTCTCGAAAAAAACCATCTCATCCAAAAAAAAAACAACAATATTTCCACGCAATAATCAACCAGAAAAGGATAGAAAAAATTAAACCTTATAATTCATATCTCTCTTCTGGCCCTTATGCCACTGTCGCATCCATCCTCTCCTTCTCATACTGCAGGCGCAACCAATGCACGAATAGAACACATGCATTGTATTTTGAATTGATATTTTATTTGGTATATATCCAGAATTAATTTTCAATTGGTGCCGGATTTGAGTTTTCCAATTGGTAGTGTTGTTGCAAGAACTCAACAAGTGTATCAATTTCCCTTCCCTCTATTCTCTGCCCTCTATGGGTGATATTTACACATTTATATACATGGATATACAAGAGGAAAATGCCTCGGTGTCCCTATGCCTTACGATATGCCTATGCGACTGGCCGGTGGGCCAGCCTTGGTCCTAGTGGTAACTTGGTGGAGGACAGGAGAGCTGCCCCGGTATGGGGGCACCACTGTTCTCGAGGGGCCTTGCTATTACCTAGGTAAAGGCATCCTCCGGGTAATAGCGTGCTCCGCCTGGCAGCCATCAACAGTGTCAGAGTTAGTTGGGGCGCGTAGTGCGCATTTATTCGTGCCCGCTAGCGCTTGATTCTTGACTTGGCATGCGAGGGCATATCGAGGCATGATTCACTCCGGCCGGCACACTGAGCTCTTCAGACCCCTCGGAGGCCCGTAGCCCTTAGGTTCCCTCCGGAGCTCCCCTTCCGGGCTCCGGGTTCCCCTCTGGGCTTCGGAGCTCGGTCATTTGGAGTGGCACCGGAGCCCGTGGCGCTGTGACCTCCCGGAGCTCCTCCGGAGCCGATCAGCCACCATCCGGAGCCTGCTTAGGTCTCATTCCTCTCGCCCCCAATGAGATCCGATTCTCCTGGATCTCCGGAGGCCTCCGGAGCGAGGGGGCCATCCGCGAACCGACATGGCCCTGATTCATGGTCATCTCCCGGGGAGGAAGGTTCTCCGGAGCGCTGCAGCCCTTCGGAGGCTAGCGTCTCCTGATCCGGAGATACTTCCCCAACAGGTAGCAAGATTTAATTTGATAAAATTTTCAATTACTATCAAGAATTTGAAGTTGTGCGTGTCGGTTTCAAATTGGTATATCATATACACACAGCAGACCCCACAAATGCAAAAGATAGGGGGAGCTCTCACATTTCTTACAAATATGTACATATTAGTTTCACCTCACATGTTAGTATGCACACATTTAAGGGAGCTCAAACTCACCCTTTGGAAAGTAAGTTATTATCAATCTATTCATAAGCCTTAATCGTTTCATCATCAATCAATGATGCAAAAAGGTGAAGATTTAAAATGCATCTAGGCCCTCCAGTGGATTTTGGCTAATTGATAAAAACATTCCATCAAGATTCTACTTATGCCGATAATCTAGATTCTTCCATAGATATATCTCCTTTAACCGAGAGAATGGTGTATTTGAATACCAACAAACAACTATGTAGCGTGTGCCTAGCTTTACCAACACGATACCCATAAATTATACGGAATTAGGATAACAAGAATGAACACAAGCCCAAATTTGCTCTATCATGGCTGGTACTCCCTCCTTTCCAAAATATAAAACATAATCACCCTTAACCTAAAAACTAAGAAACAATTATTATCATCTCTTTGTTTGAATCACCCCAATTAATACCATACATACACCCAATAGAATTAAAGATCTTATGAGTATAGGATTTAAAAAAATAATAATTTAGGTCAGAGGAGATGCTAATTAATTGCATACATACATGTATGACTTATATTATAAACCAACTTTAAAAAATAGTTGTACCCTATATTTTGAAATGGAGTAAGTAATTAAGGTCGTGTTGGCCCGTTGGCCTTGCAGGCCCACACCAAATTGAAGTTACACACGACTAACCTCAATGATTCGTCAATACGAGATACCAAAGGCATTAAAGATGTGGCGTGGCCCACTCTGATATTCTCAATTCAAATTAATACATGTCTTGACGATTCTAAGATATAGTAGATCCAATAATACATAAAAGGACCATAAGACCAATACACAGAAAGGACCATAGAGAACCAATATGTAGAAGGGCATTGGCCCGATCTGAAGGAAATTTACGGTTAACTTTAAAAGTGAGCGGCTTGTGGGGTCCAATTGCAAGATTTCAATATCCGGCCAGTTTTACCACCAAATTAATTCCGTATAAGAATTAGAATTTACATAATCATGAATTGGCTAAGGATCTGATTATATAAGTTTTGGAACTATAAACTCTATTTTACTTTTTCTGGACAGAAATATTTTCAGAATACACTGGGACTGTTAATTCATAACAAAAACACTGGACTGCAAAAGGGATGAGAAAAAAAAACAAACTTTGTATGCTTAATGTAGGTAATATCCACTACATCAGATTACAAATTTTTTTTTCCCATGTTACCTCCGAATTTCAGATCTTGGTTATCTAAGTGTCAAAACATTGTTCAACCGGTGTTCTGAATGAGCTAATTAAGCGCACTACCATTATCTGTCTCCACTCCAGTTTGCCTACTTGACACCAACAGTTTGAATATCCTTATCTGTTGCTGGGAGCAGGCTTTCCATGACGAATTTCAGTAATCACTAATCCAGCATCATGTCCAATCGCAACTCTGCAACAGTAAGGTCGTTTCAAAAAGAACTCTGAATTAATAAAGAATGCAGAGCACATCCGTAATGCATACAACGTACCGATAGAGTTCACATGCCACATAGAAGAAGATGAAAAACATGCCAGTTACAAATGTTAAAAGGAGTTCATAAGGAAAGGTGTGATGACAGTTTTTACACAAATAGACAATTGCAGAAAAGACAGATCATCTACTTCATAACTCAAAAAATGAGCTGTTCTGATATAAAGTAAGATCTTTGAGGAATGGATAAATTTTAATTTCAACAAATTTACCGAAATTCATGTTCTCAGTCAAGTTTATTTTAATTTTACACTTGCAGAAGTTGCAGGGAAGCAGTAACATTGTCAACAACATAACATCAAGATAAATAGTAGAATCCTTTTAATCACTCACCGTTTTGAACCCTTTAAGCAAACTATAGCAGTAACTTTGCCGAGCTCAAAGTCCAGTACACCTTCCAGCCTAGAAGATTATGGAAAACAGTGTCATTTCTGAAACTTTTTGGACATGAAAACATGGCAAGATCACATCTCAACCTTATGAAGTTGTGTTAATATGTACCGCAAATTAGGAACTTACTTGAAGGTAGTGGCATTCCACAGACGAACTGTCTCATCATTTGAACCTGTGAGTAGGATTGGCAGATCTGGATGGGAACAAACACAGGTGATACAATCCGTATGTCCTTCAAGTGTTTGAACACAAGTCCTTCTCTGACAGTCCCAGATCTGATCAGCAACATGAAATGCATTAGAATGTTACTTCCGCAAAAAACGATCAAGAGATACCACAATATTGTTCTTCAGTGAACCTGTCTTACCTTGGCCGTTTTGTCCCATGAACCAGTTATCATGTACAGCTGATTGCCTCGAGTAAAGAAATCAAAACAATCCACTATAGATACATGCCCAGACAGTGTGAATTCATGACGCGAAGAACGTATATTCCAAACCTGTATTTTTTTTCCATTGACAAAAGCATACATATATTTGTGTTAATGACCTAAATTCTCAAGCTGTATTTACCAAATTGACAGGAGGGTACCTGAGCATCCATCAAGCTTGCAACAGCAAATTTATGTGTATCTTTTGGGTTAAATTTGATTTGATATGCTACGCCATGGGGGTCAAATGTCCTGATACACTCCCAGTCCTTGTTCCAGTCCCACAGCTTGATCTGGTCTTGTGAGCCTACTGACAGTAGGTAAGGCTCAGTTGGATGGACATCCAAAGTTGTGATGGTCCAACTCCAAGCATGAGCTTTGAATCTCTTCACTTGCTTTACTGGGGACTCATATGTGTAAACTCTTATGAAACCATCGTGATGTCCAACCACGAACCATTGCTTTCGCGCGATGAACTTGGCTGCAGTAACTGTAGTGTTGGAGTGAGTAAATCAGTTAGCATTGCTGTGGCACATGTACAAGTCTATGCATGGTTAGTAGTGAGTCAGAAGCATGCCTATTGGTCCATATGAGCCTTGAATCAGGTTCCTTGTTTCCTGTGGACAAATATATGGGCAAATATTAGTCCTTGAACATCCAAAAGCATATTTCAACATGCTAAAATTGTAGGCATGGAGATAACTTTCAATGAATTTCACTCACATAGGCAAACTTTACAACTTATAACTTTTTTGTTGTCATTGGCAGTTTTCTAAATTTATAGCGGGTAGTATATATGCTTTTAGACAACAGAATATGTTTCTTTTTTTTTTACATCACTGGCTTCTATATCAGAAATATACGCAAATACCTGTCCCACCAAACAAACATGTAACTAGCCGATTACTGGACAAAAGTTTACGTCTAAATATTTGAATTAAAAAAAAAGTTACACAATTTTTTGCACGCCTGCTAGGACCTCACACTCCATGTGTAGCCACCTTACTTTCTCACATATGAAGCAGTACCTCATGACAACGAGATAAATGTTGTTCATTTGACTTCACCTCTCCAAAACTTGTAGTGAGTATTTGATAGTACTGTACAACTTTGAGAGCATGTCTCCATCAACAGTATTTGAAAAAAATGAAGAAAAATGTTTTTTAAATAGAACTAAGAGCTCGTGAAGAATATTTGATTCCCTAGATGAATTCAAATAAAAATAAACATTTAACTAGAAAGTTTAAGATATCATCGAGAGCTATAATTTTCGTACAAGTTTTCTTTTCATCTGACGTAATATTAAAAGCTGTAATTTTTTATTGAAATGTGGCCATTCCTTAAGAGAATCGCCGATGAAAATTGAACTTTATGGGTGGCTTCTTAAGAGAATCGCTTATGAAAATGTTGTATTTTGTTCCAGGTTATTTCCAAAGAAAACCGCATGTGAAATTTTTTCCCTTATTATTTGAAAATGACTTGATTTTGAAAATTAATAGAAAATATATTTTAAGTCCAACTAAAGTGACCCAAAGCTCTCTGTGATACTTAATATTTCCTTTAATATGATCAGATCAAAAGTATTCTAATATGGTTCCTTACTTATTAAAAGTTACCTCTATGTGAGTTGACATATTATATATCTTAAGTGAATGACTATATCCAAGGAAATATTGACCACATCTTATTAAAGGAAATACTGTAGGGGTCTCAGATAATTTTTGGTTCACCTCAATCAGATTTAAAATGATTTTAATGTGAATTTTGAAAGTTTGGCCACTTTAAAAGAATAAGAAAAAAAAAGGATATGACGGTTCGTAACGAATGTTTGAGACATTAAAAGATCTCAAATGAAAAAACATCAAACTACAAAATTGTATTTTCCGTAAAGAGATATAATTATAATATAAAGTTTGTTCTCATCCACTTCATAAGAAAAAAAAGTGATTTTTTAAATAGGACCCTTGCCATTTTTATAGGCGGTTAACAAATAGATCTGAGACCTTATGATGAATGGTTGAGCCCCTAACAATATCAATATCAAATTAAGGCAACTAAAAAGTTGTACATATTGTCAACAGCTAAACTTTTCATATGAAAAGATTGTTCTGATCCGACTTCATACGGAAAGATTGCGATTTTGTTTACGGAAAAAGAGTCATTTCCTTTTTATAGGCAGTTAATAAATATATCCAGGACCTTGTAATGAATGTTTGAGCTACTAAACAATCTCAAATGAAAAAAAATTCAACTACAATGTAGATCTCATTGGGAGCTATAATTTTCATATAAAGTTTATTCTCATCTAACTTAATATTAAAAAAATGACTTTTTTTATTAAAATAGAGTTGTTTACATTTTTACAGTTAGTTTCTTAAGAGATCAGTCCATGAAAATAAATTTTTACAGGAGGTTTCTTAAGAAAGCTGCAAATTGAAATAAATTGATGTACTACCTCATAAAATCACCTAATTTTCATAGACGGTTTTCTTAAGGAATAATATGTGGAAATGTGTTTTAACAGGCAATTTTAAACTATAAGGCCAGGCTTCTTGCCATTATTCCACCTATAAAATAAAGAAAGGGTGCCCACGAAAATATTTTTTAAAAGTAGTGATTGAAATGGGTTTTTTCTTATATGATCCTTAAGGAGGTTCTGTGAGATACCATACCATTTTATTTTTACATGTGCCTTTGGTATTTTCCTTGTATAGCGGTAGCACAAATTAACAGTAAAGTAGCATATGCAGCTTACCAAGAGTAATAACTTACAAGCGTATTATAGTTCAAGATGTCAACTGAGCCAAACATATTGCTCGTCAAGATCCTGTGTACATAAGAAGAAATTTACTTATAGTAAAAGCTATAGTAACAGACATTTTACAGCTGCTTCAAAAAAGATAGAAATGTAGTAGTGTTCAAAGAAATTAAAAGATAAACAGATATCTGGCCCTGATTTTGTGGACCCTAACTTTATTATAGAATAAGCGCATAACCAAGTAAAAGAACTTACATAAGGAAAAAGATAATGAGAAAACATGACCATTGTTTTAGTCATTTCTCCTCTACTTCCCTTTTTCAAAATAAAAAAAATAAAAAAACATAACCATTCTTTTTTAGAATTAAACATAACCATTGTTAAATCAAAATTTACGTATCAGCGTATGTTCCCACAAATTTTTATTTTTGTTTTAGGTCTAAAATAATATGGGATCATGCTAATTGCCAAGTGTAGTTAACATGAAAGTAGTGAACTAATACACGAACAATTTGTCCTTTTCTTTTGGATATAAACACAAATCTTCGTTTCATTTGTTATTATGGAAAAAAAACTAGAACATATGCAGTTTATCTCCTCTTAGAACCAAAAAAGAAAGACTATTCACATACCATGGTTCCGATGGATGCACATCTATTGGAAAATCAGGATGTTCCATTGGGATGATCTGATCAAATGACACATCGACTGAAGTTAACGAAATAATAAAATGAATGGGTTTTCAAATGTTATAAAAGTATGCAACATGCATGGTTTTGGTGATACAAAAACAACTAAAACTTATTTCACCTGATCTTCCTCTCGGTCCTCCTCTTTCTCTTTGGAACAAGAACTGTTATGGTGATCGGCTTCATGATTTTCTTTGGTCTCATTTAAGTTCAAATGGCTTGGCAATTTGCTCTCAAGAGTGACAGACTCGTTGTTGTGTGAGGGTAGCTTCTCCAAGGCATGGTCTATCGGCAGCTAAATGAGGTCCAAATTAATGAAGTTAATAGAAATTCTATCATTGGTGAATAAATATGACTTTCAAATATATATGCATGTTTTCCTCTCTGAGAAAAAAAATGTAAATAATTATTTTGTAGTATATAGTTATAAAATTGTACACTCAGCATCGCAGGCATGAAAAATGAGCAATAGTTAACAAGGTTGGACCTCGATAACGCATATTAAATTATTAAATAGAGCTTACTTCACATGATTTAGAGCAGGTTAGATGGTACAAAACTGGAATTGGTCATTCCGTCATTACACTTTTGATTCCCTAAAAGGATTACTCTCATCAAAATGCAGTTCCAAGATGTAGGGGAAATAGTGAAACAGAGGTTGTTGATTCATGGAAATCACTAATGAAACAAGGAATATATTGTGAAAATGAATGTAAACTCATCCCTTGATACATTATAGTTTTTCTTATCAAATAGATGACAAATACGATAATGCCACATCGGCATAAGCAAAATGATTCCTCTGCATTATATTCCTCCAGGAAGAACATTGCGCTGTAGCCTTTTATAAACAAAACACACGATAGTAATAATTAATTACCTCACCAATGATAGCTTCTTTCTCGTTAATTTGATTGATGATTTCCACTATATTAGGCCTATTTTCCCTATCAGTCTCCATGCATTTCAGCGCTATCTCGGTGCATGTCTTCACTTGCTGGCAATATGCTTCCAGTAGGGAACCATTCCTTCCTGTCTCTAACCTAGTTTTCCAATTCCCTAGTACCTGTGCAATCAGAATAAAAGATGAAGTACTATTCAAACGAAATAAAATATTTCCTCAGTTCTAAAATGTTTGATGTTGGTTAGTTCATTTTTAACTAACAAACGCCATAAAAAAATAAACAGATTGAGAAGTTTAGTTAGAAATAAATAGGGAGTAGTTTAGTTAGAAATAAACGTTGGTTCTGAACTCCTGATTACTTGATCGGTAAATTCTTGAGAAGGAATTTCGGTGCTTCTGAAGTGTCCTGTAGGTCCAGGTCCAGCAATTATCTCTAGCATTACAACGCCCAAGCTGAATATGTCTAACTTGTTTGATATTTCTTTCCTCTCTATGTATTCTCGTGGCAGGTATGGGCTGCACGGGGACAAATAATATGATGGATTTCATATAAATCACATTTCTTATTATTAGAAAAGGATACATTCAAATGAGTTATATATTCAGCTTACATTGTCCCAACAAGAGTTTTTGTAGTCATGGTTTTGTCTTTAGTGATGAACCTGGACAAACCAAAATCTGCAATTTTCGGCACCATGTTGTTGTCTAGCAAAATATTGGCAGGCTTTAGGTCCAAATGGTAAATAGGTGGCTTCATTTCCACATGAAGATGTTTTAAACCCTCACATGTCCCTTTAATAATTTTGTACCGTATAGGCCAATCAAGACCATCAACTTTATCTGCAAAGGTAAACAAAAGATATATCAATAGAATGCAAATACACATGACTAATTTTCTTCCGAGCTGAATATGTACTCCAACCAGTTTCATAATACTTGCCGAGTTGTCATTTTGGACAAGGATGTGGTCTAAAATAAAATTTCTAAGTCAAACTTATTAAGTTTGACCAAGAAATATAGCAATATTTCCAACACAAAACATACTATCAAAATATATTCAATGTTAGATTTAATAAAACTAATTTGATGTTGTAAATGTTGTTATATTTTTCTGTAAACTTGATCAACCTCAGAAAAGTTCGACTTATGAAAAAGTCAAAGTGGCTTATAATATAGAACGGATGGATTATAATAAATATATAATTTTATTAAAGTATCTTTCAAGATTAAGCTATACATATATTTTCCATGCTTCTTAAGTAAATATTTTAAAATTTATTCATAGTCAAAGTTCAAAACATTTTAACCTCGGCCTTATCCAAAACGATAGATATTATGAAATTAGGGGAGTAGTGGGACTTTGAGCAATATCATACCAGAAAGATAGTTTTCAAGGCTCCCCCGAGGCATATACTCGAAGCAGAGTGCTCTATGTATTGTTGCAACCAAAACTGGTCTTCCTTTGACTTGTCCATGTGTATGTTTTATTTCATAGCAGTATCCAACTAACTGTACAATGTTTGGATGGTTGACCATCATAAGGTTCCCAAACTCATTTTGTAATTTCTTGTCGTCAAAATCTTGCGTATCATGAAGAATCTTTACTGCAATTTTATCTCCATTTTTATGCTTTCCCTATTAAAGATCTAGGGTCAGTACTCAAAACATGATAAGTTTGTGATAACATTTCACAAGCCGAAAATGAAAGCATCAGGCTCTGTTTGTTTTGTCATCACACTTTTACTAGAACTAAGTTTCATGCAACAATAAAATGTGGTGCAGGGTTGATTGCTCACCTCAGTGTTATATGTGCATGTATTGCAGGCTTATTATTATTTAGAAATTAGAACCCACTACAATGGTTTCACCAATTATTCACAGTAAATTGGTGTTTACATACCAAACTTGCCTTTAACTTACCTTGTAAACTGTTCCATATCCACCTTCACCAAGCTTTCGCTCCTCAGAGAATCCATCTGTAATTTCTTCTAACAATTGGTATGCTACATTAGTTGGATTCATAGCTGAATTTGTAACTTGTCCGTTTTACCAATATCTCCTCTCTGTGTGATGAGAATAAAGAGTAATAAGTTTCTGAGAATAAAGAGTAATAATTTGGGTAATTTTACTATGCTTGATAAGGTACTGGGAGATGTTATATTTTCTAGTGTCAAACTTGATACCTCCAGCTACCATATATCTCAAAATAATAAAATTTTGATACTTACAAATACTTTCTTAAATACCGTAAAATTTTCCTAATAATTTACTCGTTTTATGAGAAGAGAAAGACTGGAGTTAACAGTAGCACTCTAAATCTTGAACTGAAATTTCTCAAAGCCTGGTTTATGGCATTGACTAAATGTGAATGAAGGGATTAAAGAAAGTTCAAAATGAGCCCCGAGATATGCATCATTTGGAGAAAAATCAAGTGAATTTCGACTAGTTTTCTTACTCCCAACAACTCACTTCGGAACTCATAGCCACGGCAATGTGTAAGAATTTGAGTGAGTACTAGTGGAGAAAATCCTAGCCTTGTATTAAAAGGGAAAAAAAAGGAAAGAAAAAGAAAGACCAGCAGGCCAAGCTTGCTTATCCATCAACAGAGACACACCATCAGTAACCAACATTCCATCAGACCAATGTGAATCATGAATCAAATGTAAAAGCCCAAGCTAATTAAGGAGCAATTGAACAAACAGTACTGCCTGCACAGGAATTGGAAGCAGTAATTAATTAATTAATTAGCACTAACCTGGAGAGAGATAACTGAAGATCGACCTAGCTTTCGAGAGGCTGGAGAGGAGAAAGTAGAGACGGGATCAGGCTCAACTCAATCTATCGCAGGAGATGAGATGAGGAGATGATTATAAACTGCAGTTTACGCCGGCGCCGTAGACGACGAGCCAGCTGTAACGCCGGATTGCTTGACTGATTGATTGTACCTTCTGATGATCAGTTCATGGACCACGATCGAGCAAGTTGAAATTAAGGACATCTAGGGCACGCGTATACAGTACAGTTATCTTGTCCAAACCTGCATGCTTATTCTAGCTTGCTATTCCCTCAAGTCCCATTTTAAGTATAGTTGTGGGTTTCTATGTCCAATGTTTAATCATTTGTCTTATTTAAATTTTTTTTTAAAAAAAATAAGTTAAGCATAAAGTATTATTCATGTTTTATCATCTAATAATAATATAGATACTAATCATAAAAAAATTTAAATAAGATGAACGGTTAAACGTTGGACAATAAACCCACAATTGTATTTAAAATGAGACGGATGGAGTACGGATTAGTAGTGGTCATTGGCCAAGAAAATCCGTAGTGCCAAAGGATGAGATGGCTAGGTGGGGATAATTCTGTTCTCTATGGAATCCTAGATTTGTCACCAGGTGTACCTTTTTGTTTTAGGAATAAAAACCACTCCTGACAAGTTTGCCGAAAACAGACCGACGTCTGATGGAAGCAGTAAAAACCGATGACTTTTGATCAAAATAATTACCCACAGCCCAACATTGCATGGCTCGTGAGTTGTGATATATACAGGGCCCAGGGACAGGGACAGAGCTAGAACGAAATGGTGAAGGATGGCACTTACTTTACTCTACTTTAGACTAATTTTAGACTGATATGAACACTTGAGTTTGGATTGAGGTGGTGCATATATGATGAAAATAGACGAATTATAGCTAAAAATATTTTCTTGATCAGATTTCTAGGCACCCCCTCTTCTACCTAGCTTCACCCCTGAAAATATGGCAAGCCTAATTTACTCTGCTGAAAAAGGACGGTACTACTATCAGGGACGGGAGATCATGATTTTAGAAATACCTCATGGTTTAAGCCTTAAATTGAAAAAATATATCTTATTTAATTTTTCATCGATAAGATATTAGTGTAATGTTTGAATACCACTATCAAAAATTATGTGCCCGCTCTGATACTACTAAGAAATAGGAAAATGCATATCACATTCACATATGGTTGCATCGGTGCTGCTACTAGTAGCTAGTGGAAGTTGACCGTCGACGTTGAGCAAAGCGTGTGGGCTGCAGGACTTGGATTGGACGGTCCAAGAAGACGACCGGCCTAACATAACAGCGACTGCAGCAGCAGCCAACAAGCAGCTGCTCTCTGCAGCAGTGTGTACATACATTCAAAATAAAACAACTGCTGTAGGATTTTGGGCTGCAGCCGATCGGCTGGGCTGGACAGCTGCAGCCCAAAATGCCGCAGGCAGCTGAACCGATCAGCCCTTGTATTAATTGGATGGGTTGGGCCTATTACTTACTCCCTCCATCTTAAAAGACAGTCATGAGTTTTTTGTCTAATTTTGATGGTTCGTTTTATTTAAAAAAAATAGTATTTTTGTTGTTATTAGATGATAAAACATAAATAGTATTTTATTTGTGACTTATGTTTTTTAAATTTTTTCAAAAAAAGTTAAATAAAACGAATAATTAAAATTGAATACGGAAACTTATAGCTACGCTTAAAATGAGACGAAGGGAGTAGTTGGAAGTATCTGTTGACTTCCTATTTACCTCACGGGATAACTTCTTTCACTGATTGAAGGGCTTGTAATGGCTTACTACAAGAGACACAAAGGTAACCTCAAGAAGACCGTCACTAGCTGCAACTAATAGTATGGCTACTTGTCGAATAAAAAAACTAAAGAAACTGGAATGTCCGAATACCATTCGTAACCCAAATCAAAGAACTCGACCCCAGGTTCATTTTCCCTTGCCTTTTCCTTAAATACTAGTATGATTTTGAGGAAGAAATTTTGTTGTAATCTGTGATCACTTTTGTATTTGAGTATCATACAGATGTCTATCAGAATCTCTGCTACCACAAAAAAAAACTTTAGTGGTGGTGGTGAGTCGTGAACAATCCAACGGTTGAATATTTTCCTAGGATCCTTGTCATCACCGCACCAGTCAACGCCCCTCCCAGAGCCATGGGCGGTGGAAATCCTAGCTCCCAAAGTTGGCGTCATTGTCGCAGGCGCCACCGCTGTCACCGCAGCTCCCCGCACCGGATCTATCATCGTCAAGGTCATCCACATCGCTGAGGTCCCAGTGCCTAATCCGCCGCCGTTGAGCTCCCCATCGAATTCAGCGGGTCCCTTAAGGAGGCGCTTGCGAAAATCAGATTCTTACATATGGCTTCTTATGAGGCCCACTTGCGAAAATAACTTTATTTTTATGTATGGTCTCATAAGATGACCACATTTTAGCAAGCGTGACTTGACCCACCCCGGGTAACTGATTGTTGCATGTGGACGACCATTACAGCTCGCCTAGAACCTGTAGTGGGCCTCGTCCGCAAAAATCAATTCTGTTGATAGATATAGAAACAATGCTCTACTGAAGTACAACTTTTACATACACATATGAGCTAACTAACAGGAGGGCCAATGGGTGCGTTGTTGATAAATACATTATTTTTCCGTTGCAAGAGCACCCAGAAATACACCATATCTCTGTAAAAAAGAAGTTCTAAAACAAATAAAATAAAACCGTAGAGAGGAACCCGATGATATATAAAATCAAGGAAACTTGTCCTACTTGATACTAGATGAAGAACACCGACAGTGCGTCGAGCAGATCGTCGGTGATCTCCTCATCCTCCTCCTTGTCCACGACCCAGTCCAACGCCATGGCTTTGTGCAAGTCTTCCAGATCACGGGGGATGTAGGTGGCAGTGAGCACCTCCTCTGACTTGGTCTCTCTATCGCTACTCGCATCTGCGCCACCGATCTCCTCTTCCATTCTAGGGTTTCGTGGATGGGGTCGAAGCACGGCGGGGGGTTAGGGAAAGCAAGTTTTCGAAATCTTGACACGAGGAAAGTGGGTGGGAGACGTAGAAGAAAAGCAAGGGACTCTCTCTCTCTGGGCCGGACCGGTATGGCCCACTAGAGTAGCGAGACACAAGGCCCAATAAGCGCCAAGTTTTTTCTTTCTCTCTCTTCCTCTCTTGATCGACTATGGAAATCAAAGCGCCGTTTGTTCCATTTTTACATGCGCAATCACAACAATGTTTATTTTGCTTTAGGGTAAGTACAAATGATATGGACTTTTAGTTAATACTCATGTAGAGGATATCATTCTACAATAATTGAGACAACAAAACCTTTTATAACCATTAATGCACCAATATAATCTTTTATTACTCTTCTTTCCTTTTCACAACCCCAAATGTTTCCTTTAATATATGCTAAGAGTCGATTGTAAGCCATGATTATACATAGCAATGATATTTCTCTTCGTTTTCTTCTCTCTTCTATGTTACCAAATTTATTTGCGTGGCAATGGAGAGAGACCGTCAATAAACATCATTGTACATACCATTAAGATGATGGAAATTATCCTTCATCACCAATCTGATGGAAAATATATCTCTCTATATCTCTACTTAAAAATGGAGTCATCATCCTTCAGTCATATCCTTCCACCGTGTGCATGCACGCGTGTGTATATACATAGCCATTAGATCTAATGTTTTATTCACAACCACACTTATATGGACCTGGCCCGTTACAACGCAGGGGCATGTTGATAGTATACTAAGTGGAGTCGTCTTTTCCCCAACATCGTACTTTCGCAAATAAAAGACTTGCTAAAAACCATCTCATCTTAAAAAAAACAATAGTGTTTTCTCTACTCCTTTTAAAACAGAGTTGTTTTCCTCCTTCCCAACCATCTTAGTTTCCCAAATAAAAAACCGTCTCAAAAAACCACCTCATCCAAAAAATACAACTTCAAAAATGGAGTTGTCTTCTTCCTTCCCCACAATCCTACTCTCCTGAATTAAAAAAACCATCTCAAAGAAACCACCTTATAAAGAAAATGACAATGTTTTCTATACTACTAAAAAGTGGAGTCGTTTTCATCCTTCCCAATCATCGTAGTTCCCCAAATAAAAAAAACCACCTCATCCAAAAAAGAAACCATATTTGCACGCGAAAATCAACCAAAAAACTAGATTAAAAAAACAAAACCCTATAATTCCAATCTTTTTTTCATCCCTTCTCCCACCGCACGCGTAGCACATCCATCCTCTCCTTCTCGTATTGTGTGCACAACCAATGCATGAATAGACCACGTGCCATGTCTTTTGATTTTATATTTTCATTTGGTATCAATAATTTGGTTTTCTGAATTGGTATCGGATTTGAGTTTTTTAACTGGTATCAAGATTTAATTTGATATTTTTTTTCATTAGCATAAATAATATAAAGTTGTGTGTGTTGGTTTCCAATTGGTATATCATGTTACACACAACACACCTCATGAATGCAAAGAGATAGGAGGAGCTCTGGCATTTCTCATAAATACGTGCATATGAGTTTCACTTCACATGTCCATAATAACATTTAGGAGGTGCTCAAACTAACCTTTTCGGATTCAAAGTCAAATATTATCAATTTGTTTGTAAACTTTAATCGTGTTGTCATCAACAAACACCGTAAAATAGATGGAAATTGCAAGTGCATCTAGGCCCCATATTGGATTATGGCTAATTGATGACAACATTCCATCAAGATTCTACTTATGCTGGTAATCTGAATTCACCCATAGACATATCCCTTTAACTGAGAGAACAACATATTTGAATACCAGATGACTCCGTGGTGTCTGCCCAACTTTATCCGCACAATACCCACAATTTATATGGAGTAGGGATAACAAGAATGAACACAAGCCCAAACCTTTCGCTGTCATGGCTGGCAAGAAATTAAAGTCGTGTTGGTCCTTGGCTTTTATGGGCCCATGCTGAATTGAAGTTGTACCGACTAATCTCGAGGACCACTCGTCAATACGAGATACCAAGGGCATTAAAGATGGGTCTTTGGCTCCATTGGTGGTGTGGCCCACTCTAATACTCTCAACTGAAATTAATGCATGCTTCGACGCAATCCACAAGATACAGTAGGTCCAATACACATAAAGGACCATAGAGAACAAATATGCCTTGGTACAATCTGAAGGAAATTTACAGTTAACTGCAAGAGCGAGCGGGTTGTGTGGTCCAATTGCGAGATTTCAATATCCGGTTAGTTTTACCACAAAATTCCGCATAAGAATTAGAATTTACGTGATCATGTATTGGCTAGATCTGATTATATAAGTTTTGAAACTATAAACTCTGTTTTATTTTTGCTCGACAGAAATATTTTCAGAATATGCTGGGACTGTTAATTCATTCAAAAAAGAAAAAAAAGCACTGGGATGCAAAAGGAATGAGAAAAAACAAAGTTTGTTTTCTTAATACAGGTAATATCCACTACGTCAGATTACAAAACTTTGGTTATCCAAGTCTTCTCTCCACGTTGCTCATTTAGTCTTCTGAATGAGTTAATTAAGCGCAGTACCATTATCTGTCTCCAATCCAGTCTGCCTAGCTTGACACCAACCCTCCAACAGTTTGAATATCCTTATCTGTTGCTGGGACCAGGCTTTTCATGGCGAATTTCAGTAATCACTAATCCAGCATCATGTCCAATCACAACTCTGCAACAGTAAGATCATTTCAAAAAGAACTCTGAATTAAATAAAGAATGCAGAGCACATCCTTAATGCATAGTGCATCATACATCTTTGTAGTCACAGAAGAAGAAAAAAACATGCCAGCTACAAATGTTAAAAAGAGTTCATATGGTAAGGTGTGATGACAGTTTTTACACAAATAGACAATTGCAGCAAAGGCAGATCTTCTACTTTAAAACTCAAGAACTGAGTTAACAAATTTGAGGAAAAGATAAATTTTAATTTCAACAAATTTATCAAAATTGATGTTTTCAGTCAAGATTATTTTGATTTACACAATTGCACTTGCAGAAGTTTTATCAGGGAAGCAGTAATATTCCCAACAATCTAACATCAAGATGAATACCGTTTTAATTACTCACCGTTTTGAGCCCTTCAAACAAATTATAGCAGTAACTTGTCCGAGCTCAAAGTCCAGTACACCCTCAAGCCTAGAAGATTATGAAAAACAATGTCATCTCTGAAACTTTCGGACAGAAAAAACATGGCAAGATCACATCTAAATCCTAGAAGTTATGTGTTGGGCGCAGTTAGATGTACTTACTTGAAGGTTATGGAGTTCCACAGACGAACTGTCTCATCATTTGAACCTGTAAGTAGTATTGGAAGATCTGGATGGGAACAAACACAGGTAATGCAATCCGTATGTCCTTCAAGTGTTTGAACACAAGTCCTTCTCTGGCAATCCCAGATCTGACATAACAAGATGAATTGCATTGCAATAATATTTCCAAAAAAATGATCTCAACTCCTATGAAAATATTCTTCTTTAGTGAAGATGCCTTACCTTGGCTGTTTTGTCCCAGGAACCAGTTATCATGTACAGTTGATTGCCTCGAGTAAAGTAATCCAAGCAACTCACTATATATCCGTGCCCAGACAATGTGAATTCATGACGGGAAGAACGGATATTCCAAACCTGTATTTTTTTTTCATTAACAAAAGTATACATATGTTCGTGTTAATAACCTACACTCTAAAATTGTGCTTACCAAATTGACTGGAGCTAAACGAAAATAAGAAATAAAAATTCATTGTACCTGTGCATCCTTCAAGCTCGCAACAGCAAATTTATGTGTATCTTTTGGGTTAAATTTTATTTGATATGCTAGGCCATGGAGGTCAAATGTCTTAATGCACTCCCAGCCCTTGTTCCAGTCCCACAGCTTGATCTGGTCTTGTGAGCCTATTGACAGTAGGTAAGGCTCAGTTGGATGGACATCCAAAGTTGTGATGTTCCATACATGAGCTTTGAATCTCTTCACTTGCTTTACTGGGGACTCATATGTGTAAACTCTTATGAAACCATCTTGATGTCCAACCACAAACCATTGCTTTCGCGCGATGAACTTGGCCGCGATAACTGTAGAGATGGAGTTTGTAAATAAGTTAGCATTGTTGTGATTTGTGACACTATGTTAAAGACTATGCATGATCAGTAGCAAGTCATGAAGCATGCCTAGTGGTCCATATGAGCCTTGAATCAGGTTCACTGTTTCCTGTGGACAAATATATGGGGAAAAAATCTTAGTTCTTGAACATACAAAAGCATATTTCAACTTGCTAAAATTTTAAGCATGAGATAACTTATGATGAATTCTATTTACAGTGTGTATAGTATATACTCCCCCGGTTTCATATTAGTTGTTTCACTTTTTTCTTAGTCAAACTTCTTTAAGTTTGATCAAATTTATAGCAAAATATAGTAATATTTTCAATACAAAACAAACATTGTATCAAAATATTTTCAATGTTAAATTTAATAAAACTAATTTGGTGTTGTGGATGTTGCTATTTTTTTCTATAAACATGATCAAACCTTAAAAACTTTGATTAAGAAAAAAGTCAAATGACTTATAGTATGAAACGGAGGAAGTATATTTTTAAATAACAAAAGATGTTTCTTTTTTACATCCATGGCTTCTTTATCAGAAATATAACCAAATATTAGTCCCTCGAGAAAACATATATCTAAATATTTGAATTAAAAAACAAGTTATTGAGAAACCTAGGACCTCACACTCCATACATAGCCACTTTACTATCCCATGTACTATGAATCACCTTGTTTTGCTTACAATATTTCTATTAGTATGGTTATTCAGTTATGTCAAGTTACCTCTATGTGAGTTGACATATTATGAAACTAGATATTAGTGAATAACTATATTAAAGGAAATATTGACCTCATAACATTAAAGGAAATATTGTAGGAATCCCAAATAACTTTGGTTGACCTCAGTCAGAATTAAAATGATTTTTCTAAGAATTTGTAAATATCAAGCATTTTCAAAGAATAAGTAAACAAATAATAAAAAAAGGATATGGAGGCTTGTTACAAATGTTTGAGCCCTTAAAAGACCTCAAATGAAAATAAAAACATTAAAGTACAAAGCTATCTCACCGAGAGTCATAATTTTCATATAAGTTTGTTCTAATCCAACTTCATATGAAAAGGTTGTGATTTTTTTTTTTTGGAATATGATTGTTTCCACTTTTTACAGGTGATTAAATAAATAGATTTGAGACATTGTAACAAGTGTTTGAGCCCCTAAACGATATGGAATGAAAAAACATTCAACTATATCGTTGATAGATAAACTTTTCATAAAAAGAATGTTGTTTTCATCCGACTTCATATAAAAAGTTATGATTTTTTTTTCATTGGGATAGGGTTGTTTCCATTTTTATATGCGGTTAATAGATAAATATGAGACCTTGTATTGTAATGAATCTTTGAGTCCCTATATGATCTCAAATGAAAAAAAAATCAACTACAATGTAGATTTCGTCTAGAGCTATAATTTTCATATAAAGTTTGTCTGACTTAATATGAAATAGCGAGGATGGCACCCACAAAAGTAGTTTTTTAGTAGTGAATGAAATGAGGTCCTTTTTCCTGATCCTTAAGGATATTCTGTGAGATACCACACCAGCCATTTTGTTTTAACATGTACTACTTGGTATTTTCCTAGTATAGCGGTAGCACAAATTAACACTAAAGTAGCATATGCAGCTTACCGAGACTAAACTTATACCTGCGTATTACAGTTCAAGATGTCAACTGAGCCAAACATATTGCTCGTCAAGATCCTGTGTACATAAGAAGAACTTTACTTATAGCAGATGTTTTACAGCTGCTTCAAGAAGGAAATATAGTAGTGTTCAAAGATAGTAAAAGAGAAACAGGTCTAACCTGATTTTGTGTACCCTAACTACTATTGTAGCATAAGCGCATAACCGAGTAAAAGAACTTTCATAAGGAAAATAATGAGAAACATAACCATTGTTTAAGTCATTTGTCCTCTACTTCACTTTTTCAAATAAAAAAAAACATAACAATTGTTAAATGAAAATTTACACATCAGTATATTTCCCCATAATTTTTATTTTTGTTTTTAGCTCTAAAATAATATGGGGTCATGCCAGTTGTCAAGTGTATTTACCATCAAAGTAGTGAACTAATACACAAACATTTTTTCCTTTTCTTTTGGATATACACACAAATCTTGGTTTCGTTTGTTATTATGGAGAAAGACTAGAACATATGCAGTTTATCTCCTCTCAGACCCCAAAAAAGAAAGACTATTCACATACCATGGCTCTGATGGATGCACATCTCTTGGAAAATCAGGATGTTCCATTGGGATGATCTGATCAAATGAAACAACAACTGAAGTTAACGAAATAATAAAATGAATGGTTTTTCAAATATGATAAAAGTATGCAACCGGCATGGTTTCAGTGTAAAAAAACAGCTAAAATTAATTTCACCTGATCTTCCTCCTGGTCCTCCTCTTTCTCTTTGGAACATGATTCGTTATGGTGATCTTGGTTTTCTCTGGTCTCATTTAAGTTCAAATGGCTTGCCAATTTGCTCTCAAGGTTGATAGACTCGTTGTTGTATGAGGGTAGCTTCTCCAAGGCATGGTCTATCGGCAGCTAAATAAGGTCAAAATTAATGAAGTTAATATAAAGAGTAAATTTCATAAAACCCTACCTATTATGGTCCAAGTTTCACAAAACCAGATGAACTTTGGCACATGGCACATAACCTCAGGTGTTATGGTCTTAACGTTTCACAAAACCACATTACTAACCATTTTGACTTTGATCTACCACACTTTTGAGTTCTACAATCGCATCTCAAAATTATGAGCATTTTATCCATCATATAAATGTTACAACCGCCTTTACTATTTTGATGTAGCAATATGTCAAAATGGTAAACGGTATGGTTTTGTGAAACTTTAGGACCATAATTCCTGTGGTTATATGCCACGTGTCAAATTTTATGTGGTTTTGTGAAATTTAGACCATATTAGATAGAGTTTGATGAAATTTACTCTAATAGAAATGCTACAGTCGGTGAATAAATATGAGTTCAACATATATATGCATGTTTTCCTTTCAGAAAAAAAATGCAAATACATGTTTGCGATACCTAGCTATGAAATTGTACACTCAGCATGATATGAAGCAGGTTTGATGGTAGAAAACTGGAACTGGTCATTACACGTTTGGTCCCCTAGATTGATTACTGTGATAAAAATGCAATTCCAAGACGCAGGGGAAATAGTGAAACAGAGGATGTTGATTTGTGGCAATCCCTAATAAACAAGGAATATACTATGAAAATGAGTGTAAACTCATCCCTTGATACATCATAATTTTTTTTGAGTAAATCATTATATTATCAAATAGATGATGAATACGATACTGCCGCATCGACGCAAGTAAAATTATTCCACTGTATTCGTTTATGAAGGACATTGCACTGTTACCTATTTATAAACAAAACACATGCTAGTAATGATTAATTACCTCACCAATTATATCTTCTTTCTCATTAATTTGATTGATGATTTCCAATATATTAGGCCTATTTTCCCTATCAATTTCCAGGCATTTCAGTGCTATCTCAGTGCATGTCTTTACTTGCTGGCAATATGCTTCCAGTAAGGGACCATTCCTTCTTGTCTGTAACCTGTTTTTCCATTTCCCTTGTACCTGTGAGATTAGAATATATATAAAGATGAAGAACTATTCAAACGAAATAGAATACTCCCTTCGTTTTGAAATGTTTGGCATTGGATAGTTCATTTTTAACTAACCAGCGTCACAAAAAAAACAGAGAGTTGTTTAGTTAGAAATAAACGTTGGTTCTGAACTCCTGATTACTTGATTGGTAAATTCTAGGGAAGGCATTTTCGTGCTTCTGAAGCGTCCTGTAGGTCCTGCAATTATATCTAGCATTACAGCGCCCAAGCTGAATATGTCTAACTTGTTTGATATTTCTTTCCTCTCTATGTATTCTCGTGGCATGTATGGGCTGCAAAGGGACAAATAATACAATGAATTTCATATAAATCACATTTCTTATTGTTAGAAAAAGATTCATTCAAATGAGTTATATATTCAGCTTACAGAGTCCCAACAAGATTTTTTGTGATCATTGTTTTCTCTTCAGTGATGAACCTAGACAAACCAAAATCTGCAATTTTTGGCACCATGTTGTTGTCTAGCAAAATATTGGCAGGCTTTAGGTCCAAATGGTAAATAGGTGGGTTCATTTCCACATGGAGATGTTTTAAACCCTCGCATGTCCCTTTAATAATTTTGTACCGTATGGGCCAGTCAAGACCATCATCTTCATCTGCAAAGGTAAAGATATATCAACAGAATGCAAATGCATATGACTAATTTTCTTCCAAGCTGAAGATGTACTCCCTCCAGTTCCATAGTACATGTCGTTTTGGATAATAACGTAGTCTTAGAAACACTTTTTTTTTTCTAAACCAAAGTTTTTAAGTTTGATCAAGTTTATAGAAAAAATATAGCAATATCTATAACATAAAACATACTATAAAATATATATTCAATGTTAGATTTAATGAAACTAATTTGATATTGTAAATGTTGTTATATTATTCTATAAACTTTATCAAACTCAGAAAATTTTGACTTAGTCAAAGTGACTTATAATATGGAACGGAGAAAGTACAATAAATATATGATTTCATTACAGTGTCTTTCAACATTAATTTATACATTTAGTTTCCATGCTTCTAAAATAAACATTTTAAAATTCATTCATAGTCAAAGTTCAAATAATTTAAACTTAGCCTTATCCAAAACAACAAATATTATGGAATTGGGGGAGTACTAGGACTGAGAGCAATGTCTTACCAGAAAGATAGTTTTCAAGGCTCCCCCGAGGCATATACTCAAAGCAAAGTGCTCTATCTATGGTTGCAATCAAAGCTAGTCTTCCTTTAGCCAGTCCAGTTGTATATTTTATTTCATAGCAGTATCCAACTAACCGTATAATGTTTGTATGGTTGGCCATCATAAGGTTCCCAAACTCATTATTGAATTTATTATCGTCAAACCCTTCCGTGTGAAGAATCTTCACCGCAATTTTATCTCCATTTTTATGCTCTCCCTGTTAAGTATCTAGGGTCAGTACTCAAAACATCATAAAAGTGGTGCAGGGTTCTGTTTGCTTTGTCGTTAGACTTTTACTAGAAGTAAGTTTTATTTGCAACAATAAAAAGTGGTGCATGGTTGATTGCTCACCTCAGTGTTATTTGTGCAAAACATGCAGTGCAGGCTTATTCTTATTTAGAAATTAGAACCCACTACATTGGTTTCGCCCATTATTACAATAAGTTGGTTTACATACCAAAGTTGACTTTAACTTACCTTATAAACTGTTCCATATCCACCTTTACCAAGCTTTCGCTCCTCAGAGAATCCATCTGTAATTTCTTTTAACAATTGGTATGGTACATTAGTTGGATTCATAGGTGAATTTGTAACTTGTCCGTGTTACCAATCTCTCTTCTGTATGATGAGAATAAATAGTAATAAGTTTTTTAGAATAAAGACTAATAATTAGACAAGTTTAGCATCCTTGAGAAGGTATCAGGAGGTGCCACATTTTATAGTATAAAACTTGATACCTACACCTATGAGGTATCTCAAAATAACAAAACTTTGGTACTTACAGATAGTTTGTCAAGTGCTATAAAATTTCCCTAATAATTTACTCGTTCTATAAGAAAGACTGGAGTTAATAGTAGCACTTTAAATCTTAACTGAAATTTCTCAAATCCTGGATTAGGGTATAGACTAAATGTGAATGAAATTAATACAGAGAGAAAGTTCAAAACAAGCCCTCAGATGTGCATCATTTGGAGAAAAATTGAATGAGTTTTTACCTAGTTTTGTTACCCCAACAACTTTCATCTGAACTCATAGCCAAGGCCGTGTGTGAAAATTCGAGTGAGTATACTAGTGGAGAAAATCTTAGGCTTTGTATTAAAAGGCAAAATGAAAGGGAAAAAAAACAGTCTCTACAGTGCTCTCTATGGGCCAACGGAAGGGTTGTATGTGAATGTGCCAATGGAGCAATGATGGACGTATCATACGAGGCTTGCAAATGTGAGATCGATTCGGTTGTGATGGACTCTGTTTTAGAAAGGAGAAAAATAACTAATGAACGATGATATGGGAAGTACTATCATACCCTCACAAATTGACGGTGTAGATCGTTTCTACTACTATAGTAGAGAGCACCGTATATAAAGACTCAAAAAGAAAAAGAAAAGACCAATAGATCAAGCTTGTCTATCCATCAATTGAGAATACCATCAGTAACCATGATAATTAATGGCCAAGTTCATCGATCGTGAAGCATACGACTTAACTTAATTAGGCTCCTAAATCTAGATAAAAAAACCCAAGCTAGGAGCAATTGAACAAATTGCATGCCTTTCACTGGAAGCAGTAACTAATCAATTGATGATTAATTAGCACTAACCTGGTCCACCTGGAGATATATTTGACGATCGCCTAGCTTCTCGAGAGGCTAGAGAGGAGGAGAGATCAGGCTCAATCTATCGCAGGAGACGAGAGGAGGATGAGATGATTATATAAACCGCACTCAGGCCGGCGCCGTAGACGACGAGGAGGAGCCAGCTGTAACGCAGATTTGCTGCAGGATTGCTTGACTGAGGGTGGGTTCAATTCGCGAAAAGAAAAATTTTTAGGTGTCATATCGAACATCGGATGTTTGATCAGATGTTGAAAGGGGTTTTAGACAAAAATAAAAAAACTAATTTTATAAATCACTGAAAACCGCTAGACGAATCTTTTGAGCCTAATTAAGCCATCATTAGTACATATGGGTTATGGTAGCATTTATGGCTAATCATGAACTAATTAGGCTCAGCCCAGAAGATTCTCCTCGCGATTTCCATCTAAAATGTGCAATTAGTTTTTGTTTTTAGCTATATTAAATACTTCATACATATGTTCAAAGATTCGATACGATGTTTTTAGAAAAAAAAATTTGGAAAACTAAACCAGGCATGACTGACTGAAAGTACCTTGTGATCAAGTTGACACATTTATGGCACGCGTATACAGTGCAGTTAGCTTGTCTAAATATGCATGACAGTCTATCTAAGAGTCTCATCTTTTCACTTATACTTATTAGCCAAAATTTAAATTTTAAACCTTAAATTTGAAGTTGATTTTGGAGGGTTTTCATTGAAGTTTATTTTTTAACCTTTATTTTTATATCACTAAGAACATGTATATAAAAGTTTTATTCGTAAATTATTTTTCATTTGTAAATATACCGTTTTGCTTACTAAGGGCCTGCTTGCTACGGAATAGTAGTACTGATCAAGAAAATCCGAAGTGCCGAAGGGGATACAGTAGGCATGTGTGACCAGATGGCTAGGTGCATTTATATATGTTAACCATGTTCATTACGGTTGAAATCCTAGATTTATCCTGATATATATCCACCAATTTTAAGAAAAAACATATACTCCCCAGTTCTCTTTAATTTATTTATTATCACTTTTAACCATAAATTTTTAACCATCAATGTTTCAACTTTGGTTATTAATAACTTTTAGACGATAAATTTATTATTATTGAAAGTTTATGGTTGTATCTATACACCTTTTTTTTTTCCAATGTACGTCCCTATGTTATAGAAAGCAAGTCGATATAGCATACGGGTAAAACAGCTCATATCCTTGAACTAAGGTACTAGTTGTTGAAACTGAAAAGTATACGTATGCACATTTGAAATATTAAACATAAATTAATAATAAAATAAATTACAGATTACACCTGTAAACTGTAAGTATTAAACCTAATTAATCCGTTATTAACAAATGTTTAATGTAGCATCATATTGTTAAATCATGGCGTAATTAGGCTCAAAATATTCGTCTCGCAATTTACGTACAAACTGTGCAATTGGTTTTTTTCCCACATTTAATACCCCATGCATGCATCCAAACATTTAATGTGATGTTTTTGGCCAAATTTTTTTAGATCTAGATAAGCCTATATATTGTTTAGGATTATACACGCCGCATGCACTCTTGACCCTCTAAGGATCCATTATTTGGTGCCACCGACAATTCTAGCATGTGTATAGAAAATCACAATTCTCCACTGGACGGTCCAAGAAGACGGCTGACCTAACATATAGCATGGCGAGCAAGCATGCACACTGTATTAATTGGATGGGTCTAACTTAGTTGGAAGCATCACAGTTGACTTCCAGCTTGTAAATATGATTCTCAGAAAAAAAAATACTTGTAATATTTGATCACTTTTGTATTTGAGCATCGTACATATGTACTATCTTCATTCTATTTTTGTCATCACCTAGACAAAGAGCGCAGGGACCAAGGACAACTAAAAATTCATCATTCCGTAATTAATTCTCATCGGTTAAAGTAACACGTTGCTTCGTATTTCATGGGTTGCATCAAATTTTAAATATATTAGGTAGTTGTACTAATACGAATTAAATTAGGGCAATTTTTTTTCTACCCCACTTTAATGTCCAATATTGATTTTACTCTTACTTTTTAGGGTTTTCGTTTTTGCCCATACTTTTTTGAACCGAACAATATTTTTACCCCTGTTTTGTTTTGAATAGAGAAGTTCACGGTATTAACTACATGGCAAAAAGATATTTATACCCTCTCCTATCTCTATTCATGAATTGTGTTTTTCTCTATTTTATGCATGGCTTTGAAAATTTATTTTTGTGAATATGTTTAAAATTAAATGACCTATATTGACTAACATAACAATTTGGACAGATTCTAAATTTGATGGAATTTTGACAAAATTTCAGCAGCATTTTGATAGAAATTGAACAAACTTTGAAAAAATTTCAAGAACATTTTACACAATCTCGGCCACCTCCTCCAAGCCCCCTGCCAGTCGCCGCCTAGACCCCTCAACGCCGTCGCCTACCCCTCTCCTCGCCGCCGCCTAGCGCACGCCTCCTGCTCGCCGGCGGGAGGGGCTGCACCTGGTCGCGGCTTGCTCGCCGACGGAAGGGGTTGCCACTGGTCGGCACCCGCTTGCCGACTCCCGCTCACCGCCGCCTATCCCTCTCCTCGCCACCTAGCCCGCGCAGAGCGCGCTCTGCTCGCCGATGGGAGGAGCTGCGCCTGGCCGCCACCTGCTCGCCGCTGCCGCCTAGCCGATGCCCACGTGCTGTCGCCTACCCCTCTCCCCGCCGCCTAGCCCGCATACAGCGCTCCCTGCTCCCCGGCGGGAGAAGCTGCACCTGGCTGCCACCTGCTCGCCGCCACCACCAAGCCGATGCCCGCGCGCTGCGGCCTACCCTCTCCCCGCTGCCTAGCCTGCGTAGAGCGCTCCCTGCTCACCGGTGGGAGGAGCTGCGCCTGGCCACCGCCCGCTCGCCGCCGCCTGTGCGGCTGTGACATCCTGACCCAATTAGGATGAGGCCCTTGTGAGCTTGTGCGCATGTTTAGTACCACATTGCTAGTTTAGCAAGTGTGGAACCGACTTATAAGGCCTTGTCTCTCCAACCATGCCACTCTCGGGTTAACTATTTTACACGAAGCGAGGACGAAAATGTAAGTGGAGTGGTATGTGTAAGTGGACCCGTCCGTCGAATGGGCTGGCTACATGGTTCTGGAGGGAGGGCTGTTACAGCCACCTGGATAGTCTTAGATAGACACTCTTAGACCCTTTTTCTCGTAATGAAAAGGTATACAAATTCAAAAAACCTTTATTTCCTTTATTTATCTATTTCTTTACTATCATAAACCCGGTTCTTTACTACCATAAACCCCGTCCCACTCACTTCAGTCTAAACCAGGGGTAAACGTCTCTTTTGGTAAAAAAAATAGTGGTAAAAATAAAAACCCTAAAAAATAGGGGTAAAATCAATATTGGACATCAAAGTATCAGAAACAAAATTGTCCCAATTATTGGACATTCAATAATGCTCATTTACTCTTTACACAGATAAATAAATAGACATTTGTTAGACGACAATTGCTTTGGGAAGACCTCAAAACCTTATGTCATAATCAAACTGGGATAGGAGTACTCGGTAGGTCAGAATATACAATAATGCCGTAGTAATTGGTCCTTCACTACTTCTGTTCAGTCAACTGTAAACTGCTCTCGGCTGGTTTGCGTACGAAGTTCAGTTTTGCTTTCCGGAAGTCAAACGGTAGGGACAAGCGAGAAAATCAACGCGTAAATTGGGGGCAAGGGCTATCGATATGCAATCGTGAGAACCTGACCGGAAATGGCTGGACAATTGTTTGAATTTATAAGAGTTTATCAATATGGAACAGCGTGAGCCGACCTAGCTCAGTGGTAGAGCGCGTGGCTTTTAACCACGTGGTCGTGGGTTCGATCCCCACGGTCGGCGACTATGTTTATTTGAACTTAAATATCTTTTTTATTCAAATTTAAAATTTAAATTTCCGAGAGCTTCCCAATATGATGATCTTGTTTCACATGACGAACCAATCTCGCAAGGATTTGCGCGACGCCTCGCCTGATCACAGATCAGTTGGATTATGGATCCTTGCACGAACGAATCGTGTAGCGCAATGAGTAAAGCATGACTGCATGAGCATAGGAAAAATAGTCTTAAAAAAAGAATAGGAAAATAAAAGAAAAAATATGTATTCGAAACCTCATTAGCAGAAATAACAAAAAGGAAAACGTACAGTAGTATTACTACCGATGAACTGCATTTTGTTTTTAATCCAAAAGATCGTTTTTGTTTTTTTAGAACAAAAGATCGTTCTTGTTGTCGACATGTTTTTCCAATGGTATATCAGTCAAATTCTTACTGTTCTATACGCTTTAATATTTGTGTGCTTTCATGGGCCAGCTAGACATAGCACACGGGCCTGCAGGTGTCAAGATAAGGGAAGATCAGCTGAAAGGCCTAAATTACTGGATCAGCGAGAGTTCTGGGCTGCATATACAGTTGGGTACTTGGGTTGCCAAACTTCTACGATGTTTTAGTATATCTATCATCAATTGGTACGTTACAGTGAGTATTTACAATGTTCTTTTTATTAACACAGTAAAAACACAGATGCCCGCGCACACTCACTTTTATGAATACACACACGCATATTTTATCTATATGAGCACCTTTCAAAGACTATGTCTTGAGATTAATGAATTCGCCACAAGCGACTCGTTGTCGATGAATATGTATGAATATGTACCTCCCACTGAAAAAAATTAACTTTGAGTACTTCCTATGTTTAATAACATGAAAGTTTACATTTTACAGTGGATATTTTGATAATATTCATTGTTTTTTTTAAATTACATCATAGCATATGAAATTTAATTCATTTGTTTCATGAGCAAATAGATGATGAGCCTCATTGTTTGGCTTATGCTTATACATATAAACCAAAATTTAAATTTTAAAACCTAATTTGTAGTTTTTTATTGTAGTTTATTTTATATTATTTGCTTTTAAATCATTAAGGATATGTATATAAAAGTTTCATTCATAAATTATTTGTTGGTTGCTGATAAGCAGTTTCAATAAGCATAAACATAAATGAAAAGATAGGGCTAAGCATATACGAGATTGATGACTTTTTAAATCCGTTCGCGTATTCATGTTTTTTAGAAATATTTATGAAAATAGATAAACAATACAAGGCGCACTTAAACATACTTTAGATGATAGATATAGTGGTACCTCTTTTCACTTCACCTAATCCGGTTTAAAAATAATTATCATTTTGAACAAGACTGATATCAAAATTTAAAACTTTAACTATAAATATTTCTAAAATATTTGTGTAGCAAACATGGAGAGCATATACATTAATCTTAAAAAGTACTCCAATAAAATCATGCATATGTTGATATTTCTATATATTGTAAAAAAAATAGTGGTCGAAGTTATTTTTAGACAATTTCAAGATGACAATTATTTTTGACCCGGAGGGAGTAATTGAATAAATGATGCCGGTCAATAAAAATGAGAAAATGGTCAATTGTGTCATATAGGAATATCTAAAAACCAGAGGGAGTATTTCCTACTTGGCTGTACGCCTGTGCCCTGCCGTATTCTTTTGTTATATTGCTCTTCTGCCAAAGTGCCAAGTTGTTTAATATCGTGTTCTTTTGTTAAAACTGCTCTTCTGCCAAGTCTTTTGTGTTTAAAGTTCACAACATCTCACTAGAGGATTTTGTTTCAGATGATGAATCAATTCGTTTTAGATCCTTGAAGATTTGTGTGACACCTGGTCACATATTAATTAAATGGATCGCGTGGCGCAATGAGCAAATGAGCAAGATAAAAGAAAATGACTACATGTCATCAATGTAATCACAATCTTCAATTCGAAAGATTCTGAAGATGAGCATGGCGACCTGTGTACTGTGAGCTAACTCTGCACTGATGTTCTGATGCTAAAGTCGTGTATTGTTACCATGAATCTGGTTCTAGGAAAAGCATAGATCATTCTTGATTGCTGGCATGCTCCTCGTGAACAAATTAAAATGAAGATTATAGAAGCTGGTCGATCTAGAGACCTTGAAAGCTGAAACATTCCAGGACCAATATCTAGAGCAACATCCTGCATCATGTAACACGATCCTCTAATATAAAGTCAAACACTCAAAGGAGCATGGTTACTGATATGTGAGCCCGATGTTGATGGGTCCCACATGATAGTGATCACTTGGGCATAGTATGTCAGAGGATTCTCTTCCCATGCATCATATATGCATCATGCTGTGGGGCAAGGAGAGCAAGAGGGCAGGGATTGAAATTTCGGTAATTTCAAACCTCCCCCCGCCATAACAATATCAAATTTTCGGGTTTTCTCAATTTTTTGTGAATTTAGTCAAATTCAGTTAAATTGTGTCAAAATTTCAGAAAATTTCGCTCCAAAAATTACCAAAATTTCGGACATTTCGATTCTACTGAAAGGGCTGAAATTTTAGCCAAAATCGAAATTGAAAACCCTGCAAGCGGGTAGCTCTTTTAGCTGAAACGGTTGGTATCTATTCTGACTGCCATAGTGGTAACACTCATAGGATTAACTAGGTAATACCCCGCGCTTTGCTGCGGAATTCATAAATAAGTATATATTAAATATTGTTGAAATGATGAAAGTTGAAATGTTGAGAAAATAATATGAGGAAGATGATTTGACACATACTTATTAATCTCTATAATATAATATTGTAGATGATGTGCCATGTTTGCATGGAATTTAAAATAGGTTAGAATAGTAATTGCTAGTGAGTGAAGATGTGGCATGCTTACATGGGATTTAAAATGGGCTAGAATAGTAATTGCTAGTGGGTGATGATATGGTATGCTTACATGTTGAGCTTTACCTTCTAATAATTGTTAGTGGGTACCAACTATATAGAAATATATAGAAAGATAGATCAGCATATGGCTCAAATATAGTGCTTCTGAACATTGCATAAGGGAAATTGTGAAAATCTTCTCCAAGGATAACTTTTTAAGAGTTCCTTTCAGCCAACTGGAAGGGATGGGGTGAATTCATTCAAACTAGTCAATCATGGTTATGACGGGAACATATCCTATGCATATAAATTTCCCGTGCACACTCCATACACACTAATTAGCAAATGCCACGAAACATTCTAAAAAAAAATTGGACATATACTCCTAATATTTATGCATGGTTCCCTTCTTGGAGTACAGCATACCTTTGCTGGTTTGTCTCTCCATAACGAGTTCAACACAGCAACCAAAGGAAGCTGTGCATAGTGAGTGTCACTCTCCAAGGTCACAAATGGGTTAATTTGTTGCTGTGATTGCTATCAAGCAAATCTGTTTGTTTAGTGTCGAAGGAAACGAAACCGTCATTAGTTTTGGAGCACCGTGTATGAGAATTTGCCTTTAATTTGCACCACTCATGCGGAAGATAAATGGAGCACCAAATGACCCAAACCTTGCGCACACGCTGGCTCTGGCCTATATAAAGGCATTACACAACCCATGAACAATTTACCAGTACGTTCACCACCATGGTTAGCTCAGCTGCCTGCTTCTTCTTCTTCTTCTTCTTCTCCCGGCTCATCACCATCTACTTCTGCTTCTCTCCCATCGCCCACGCACGGCATCCGGTGAACCCGAGCACCGGATGCCGGCGATGGCTGCGTGTGCAAGGAGAGGGACGCGCTGCTGGATTTCATGCGTGGCATCAACGACGCCGACAACACCCTCGCCTCGTGGCAATGGGAGAAAGATTGCTGCCGGTGGATTGGCGTCACCTGCAGCAGCAACCGAATCCGAATGGCCGGCAATGTCATCCGGCTTGAACTCTCTGAGGCTTCTTTGGGTGGCCAAGTTTTGCAAGGCCGGATGAGTCCTTCCTTGGCTTCTCTCGAGCATCTTGAGTACCTCGACCTCAGTGCTCTCGTCCTTCCGGGCATCAACAGCAGTAGCCCAAAGTTCTTGGGTTCTATGACGAACCTGAGATATCTTGATCTCTCTGGGTGTTTTCTCTCTGGTAGTGTGTCTCCTTGGCTCGGCAACCTTTCCAAATTGGAGTACCTTGATCTCTCTTTCTCAACCTTGTCAGGTAGGGTTCCACCTGAGCTCGGTAACCTGACAAGGTTGAAACATCTGGACCTTGGTAACATGCAACATATGTACTCGGCAGATATCTCATGGATTACTCATCTGCGATCCTTGGAGTATCTTGACATGAGCTTGGTGAATCTGCTGAACACAATTCCATCTTTGGAGGTTCTCAACCTTGTGAAATTCACACTTCCTAGTACACCCCAAGCACTCGCGCAACTAAACCTCACGAAACTCGTGCAGCTCGATCTCTCGTCGAACAGATTGGGCCATCCAATCCAATCATGTTGGTTTTGGAACCTGACGAGTATCGAATCCCTCGAGCTCTCTGAAACATTTCTTCATGGTCCGTTTCCTACCGCGCTAGGAAGTTTCACGGCACTCCAGTGGCTTGGGTTTAGTGATAACGGTAATGCAGCAACGTTGCTAGCGGACATGAGAAGTCTCTGTTCTATGAAAAGCTTGGGTCTAGGTGGTAGTCTATCTCATGGGAACATAGAGGATTTGGTAGACAGGTTGCCACATGGTATTACTAGAGATAAACCAGCACAAGAAGGGAATTTTACAAGTTTGTCTTATCTTGATCTTTCTGACAACCATCTTGCTGGGATTATACCATCAGATATTGCATATACCATCCCTAGCTTATGTCACCTTGACCTTTCTAGGAATAATCTGACTGGACCTATACCCATAATAGAGAACTCTAGCTTAAGTGAGCTCATCCTCCGTTCCAACCAACTAACGGGTCAAATACCGAAATTAGATAGAAAAATTGAAGTCATGGATATCTCCATAAACTTGTTGTCAGGGCCTTTGCCCATAGATATTGGGTCTCCAAACCTTCTAGCACTAATTCTGTCCTCTAATTATCTTATCGGTCGAATTCCAGAATCAGTTTGTGAATCACAGTCCATGATTATCGTGGATTTGTCCAACAATTTTCTTGAGGGAGCCTTTCCCAAGTGTTTTCAGATGCAAAGGTTGATTTTCCTCCTCTTAAGTCACAATAGCTTCTCTGCTAAACTCCCATCATTTCTCCGCAACTCAAATTTGTTAAGCTATGTGGATCTATCATGGAACAAATTCAGTGGAACATTGCCACAATGGATTGGACATATGGTGAACTTGCATTTTCTACACCTTAGCCACAACATGTTTTACGGTCATATTCCAATCAAAATCACAAATCTTAAAAATCTCCACTACTTCAGTTTAGCAGCAAACAATATATCTGGTGCAATACCACGGTGTTTGTCAAAGTTAACAATGATGATAGGAAAACAATCGACAATAATAGAGATCGATTGGTTTCATGCGTATTTTGACGTTGTGGATGGGTCTCTTGGAAGAATTTTCTCTGTTGTGATGAAGCACCAAGAACAACAATATGGTGATAGCATTCTCGATGTGGTGGGCATCGACTTGTCACTCAATAGTTTAACTGGTGGAATACCGGATGAGATCACTTCTCTTAAAAGATTGCTCAGTTTAAATTTATCATGGAATCAATTGAGCGGAGAAATCGTAGAGAAGATTGGGGCGATGAATTCATTGGAATCACTTGACCTCTCGCGGAACAAATTTTCTGGTGAAATTCCTCCAAGTTTGGCCAATCTGGCATATCTAAGCTACTTGGACTTGTCATACAATAATCTTACAGGAAGAATTCCACGAGGAAGCCAACTCGATACCCTCTATGCCGAGAACCCTCACATATATGATGGAAACAACGGTCTCTATGGTCCTCCCCTCCAAAGGAATTGCTTGGGCAGTGAACTACCAAAGAATAGCAGCCAAATCATGAGCAAAAATGTTTCTGATGAGCTAATGTTCTACTTTGGACTTGGGTCCGGGTTTACAGTTGGTCTCTGGGTTGTTTTCTGTGTTGTATTGTTCAAGAAAACTTGGAGAATTGCCTTGTTTCGCCTCTTTGATAGGATACACGACAAAGTATATGTGTTTGTCGCCATAACCTGGGCCAGTATTGGTAGAGAGGCTACCACAGATTAATAGGTACTACTACGAAGCAACAAACAGTGATTTTGCTACCAGGGAACCACACTAAAATTGGGTTGGGTGGAACGAATAAACAAAGATAGTATCATGCAATGAATGTTATTCTTTGTATTTATATGAACACATTAAAATTTTGTAATAATTTATAGGGATTGGATCTTGTGTAATACTATATGGTTTGGGATCACTAATACATTTGTCGACAGATGTAATTATAGTACAATTGTGATGTAATTACACTGTAACATTCTATTTCGGTGACGAATCCTCTCACATGTGTGTGCGGTGTGAATTTTTCCCTTCCTCACTTTGTACAAATCTTGAAACAAATCTAACGGTTTAAAATTATGTGAAAGTTACATACAAGTGATATTGTAGTTACATACAAGTTACAGTGTACTAACACTTCAATTGTATTGTAATTACATCTATCAAATTTTTAGGAGAAAATTTGTCGACAAATATATAGCAAAATTGTATGGTTTTGATGCATGCACTATTCCCACCAGCAATTCCATATATCACAAACTTCGGGAGTGAGAGTTGATAATTGTGGAATTTGGGGATTTTACTGTGTACAATTGACTTACGGTAAGAACCACATATAATGTTTACAAGAGATATGAAAAGACACATATACCCTTTAACATCCCCGCTCAAATGCAATGTGTATGCAATAACATTGCATTTGAAAGGTATAGCTTAACCTACACTAAAACCAAAGTCAATGCTTGAAGATGTTGTCAAAGCGTGCAAATCTTGGATGATGATGAAGAAGAAAAGATAGCATCCCCTCCGCAATGAAGTGGACCTCGGAGCCTTCACAAACTGTTCTTCGGCCCTCGGAATCTTGAAGCCTTCACAACCCGTTCTGCGGCTCTTCACCGATTCGGAGATGTTGGTGATGATGTTGAAGGGCCTTTACAAATTGTTCTTCGGCCCTTGATTGGTGACGATGGCCTGCTCCGATATGGAGCTAGTGAGATACTAGTATACTGACATTACTTCGACGAATTGAAAGGATGTGATGGACTTTAGTGGACTCGATAAAGAACATAGGAAATTGATTTGTAGATGATACTATGCTAGCAAAAGGCATTGCAATAGACAAATAGCAGATGGCAACAAAAGGGGAAATAGTGACCGTCAAATTACTTAAAGATGGAAGGCGGATCTGAAACAATACGGTGAAGGCCATGACCAGTCACTGCTCAAATAAGATGGTCCTACTATTGCGAGCTGAGGAGCACATAAGGCTGCACCGGAGATAGTACCAACAACACTCATACTAGATCTAGCAGCTATGGAGTCAGAGAAACCAGGAACACTAGCAGCCACATGAGGACGTGAAGTGATTGCACGCCTCGCTTGATAATCAACCAACTTCTTTGGGTGAAGATGAAAGCAATCATGGAAAGTATGACCGACCTTCTTGCAATAAGAGCAAATAATTGTAACCGAATCTAGGGACACTCCCCATAGGAACTCCAACACGATGAGTTGCTGCCAGGACATTATGAGCAACCGAATGAGTGGAAGTAATTTCTAGGGTGCTAAGACGCGTCTCCTCAGCAATCAGATCTGCAAGAGCCTCTGTCATAGTTGGAAGTGTACTACGCGCAAGCAATTGAACCCGTTTAGGTTCAAATTTAGGGAGAAGTCGCATGGCAAACTGATATACTCCCTTCGTCCCAAAATATAAGCATTTTTGACTTTGATATAGTCTTCGAGATGCATCTTTGACCAACAATATTTATAAAAGTAATATGTTTTAAATAAAAAGAGTTGTATATTGCTCCAGTATGATAGTTTGTTTAATGATAAATCTAGTGACATCAAATTTATATGATTGATCTTTTTTTGGCTATTAATAGTTAAAATTTAAAAAGTTTAACTTGCACTATTCCAAAAATACTTATATTTTAGGATGGAGAAAGTACTAAATTTTCCTGATCATGCTTCTCTCTCGCCTTGCATTGTGCACATCCTTAAACAACTTTTTGAATCTGTACCTCAAATTGTCCGGTTAACCGAGTAAAAACATTGTAAAACTCTTCAATGGACTGATTTTGTTGCTGCTGTAAGTTGTTCAGATTTTGCAACAAGGAGAAGCGTAAGGCTCCACTTTCTTGAGTGTATCTCTGTTTGAGATAGTTCCACATCTCCTTAGCACTTGTGTGAGCCTTAAAACCTATCCGAATAGCCACATCAACGCTCATAAATATGAATCCCATCACACGATCATCAGCAATTTTCCAAGCCTTTACCTTTGTTGCATCTGTTTTCTCATCAGGAGGATCATCTGTGAGGTGTGATGCTTGACCAATTGACCGCAAAAGCATAAGTGCTGATAGTTCGATAATTTTGACCATTTAACTTAATGTCTGTACAAAGCAAAGCCCCACCTCCCAGGAAAGGATCAGTTGTTCTCATCAAGATCAGCGCAAGAAGTACATCAAGATCAGCACAAGAAGTACAGGAAGTAGATGGTTGTACGATGTTATCTGAAGTTCTGAACTTGGCACTAGCACACAGCAGCAGAGAGCAGCAATAGTAGTAGAGAGCAGAGAGTACCACAGCTTCAGGAACATTCAGGAGTAGTACCAAACAGTGGAGGAGCAGCTTGTTGATGAGGGCCTTATCCATCAATAGTCCATATGCACAGGGTTGCAGCTTCAGCTTATTGATGACGAGCTTGATAAAATGGCAGCCTGATGAGGTCGATCAGCAGCAACAGGTACGGCCAGTGCAAAATTTCTCATCTTTCGGTAAAACCAGTGCAAAATTTCTCATCTTTGGGTAAAATTCCTCATTTTCAAGTTGTTCAGGTGGTATATTGTGTTAAAATATGCTTATGCTCCCAAACGTCTCATCTTTGGGTAAAATTTCTTATTTGAGGATTAAGGATCATCATTTTTTTTCAAAAAAATCAAACCTGAGCCCTCAATTAGATACATAGAAATAAAAATAAAACATCAAATGAAATGAAATTCAAAAGACACAACAAAAACATGTCCAAAAGACAAAAAAAATTTAAAATACTTTAGACAAAAACGAAATTCAATTCGAAATAAAGAAAAAAACCCTTACAGAATTAACAAAAAAATATTATAAGATTTAAAAACTTAGATTCGGGATCAGATGGTAAAATATTGGAGTGCCCTGTTGTCGTAACAGGCTTGGTTGGGGCAGACACCCCTCTCGCAACATTAATTAGCGAGATGTTACCACTCATCATCTCCCTTTAACTGCCTGAAGGATCATGCCCTCCTCGTCCCACCCACCCGCCCTTTTATAGCCTCTCTCCCTCTCGCCATCCGCCTGCGCCGCCGAGGTGGGACTAAAACCCCCCTCACGCAGCAGACTAGCACGCACTAGCGCTGATAGTTAGTAAGACGCTTATTTGGGCCTAGCTCTCAGCCCAAAGGTTTAGTTGGGCCGGGCCGAGTTGGGCTTTACGGATGGTAAAACATGTGACACGATGACGCAGTTGAGCGAACTGCTTGGTTGGGAATGGCGGCGCCCGTGGCCGGCCGCCTCTCCGGGCTCCTCCGGCGATGCGCGGCGGCCGGGGCGGTCCGGCCGGGAGAGCAGGCGCACGCGAGGGCGGTGGTGGGCGGGTGGCTCCCCGACGCCACCCTGGAGACCGACCTCGTGCTGATGTACTGCAGGTGCGGCGAGCGTCGGCGCGCACGCAGGGTGTTCGACGGAATGCGTGCGCCGTCCATGCACGCGTACAACGTGCTCCTCGCGGCGTCGCCTCCCCGCGACGCGATGGAGGTGTTCTCCCGCCTCCTCGCGTCGGGGCTCCGCCCTGACGGTTACTCTGTCCCCGCCGTGGTACGTGCCTGCGCTGAGCTCCCCGACGCGGTGCTTGGCGGGGTGATCCACGGCTTCGCCGTCCGGCTCGGCTTGATGGGGAACGTTGTTGTGGCCGCTGCGCTTCTGGATATGTATGCCAAGGCTGGTTTCCTGGATGATGCGGTGAGGGTGTTCGACGAGATGACGGAGAGGGATGCTGTCGTCTGGAACTGCATGGTTGCAGGGTATGCGAGGGCTGGGAGGGCAGTAGAAACCTTTGAGATTTTCAGCAGAGCGCAGGTTGAGGCGGTGAACATGGTGAATGGTCTGCAGGCTGTGCCCAGCGTGTTGAATATCTGCGCGAAGGAAGGGGAGCTGATGAAGGGTAGGGAAATCCATGGTAGGATGGTGAGGTGCCTTGCATTTGATTCGGATATCGCAGTGGGGAACGCTTTGATCAACATGTATGCAAAGTGCGGCCGGGTCAATGTATCACAAGCAGTGTTTTCTGGCATGCAGCAGAGGGATGTGGTGAGCTGGTCTACAATGATTCATAGCTACAGCATTCATGGCAAGGGGGAACAGGCATTGAAGGTTTACATGGAAATGTTGTCTGAGGGAGTGAAACCAAATTGGATCACATTCACATCAGTTCTGTCAAGTTGCAGCCACTCCGGGCTTGTAACCGAGGGTCGGAAGATCTTCGAGTCGATGACTAAGGTTCATGGTGTCCACCCTGCTGCTGAGCACTATGCATGTATGGTTGACCTCTTAGGGCGTGCTGGAGCCATTGAAGAAGCTGTTGGGCTTATAAGGAAGATGCCCATGGAACCTTGTGCTAGCGTGTGGGGAGCTTTGCTCTCTGCATGTGCTATGCATAATAACGTCGATGTTGGAGAGATTGCAGCTTTTAGGCTATTTGAGTTAGAAGAAGGCAGTGCTAGCAATTATGTTACCCTCTGTGGAATTTATGACGCAGTTGGTCAATCTGATGGTGTTGCAGGGTTGAGATCAAGGATGAGAGAACTCGGCATGGTGAAGACGCCTGGGTGCAGTCGGATCGATGTGAAGGGAAGAGCTCATGCTTTCTACCAGGGGAGCATCCCACGTTATTTGAGGAGATGAATGCTTTGGGTATTAGATCAGTTACTAGACGATATGGCAAATTCAGATTCAGAAGATGAGCATGCTGACTTGTACTTTGAGTTAACTCTGCACTGAAGTTCTGATGCTGAAAGTCATGTATTGCTACAATCAATTTTGTTCAAGGAAAAGCATGGATCTTCCTTGATGGCTGCCATGCTACTCATGAACAAAGTTGAATGAAGACCAACAAAGAATCCTAAGAAATTGGTCAATCTAGATGTCTTGGAAGCTGAAACTTTTCAGGACCAGTATCTGGAGCAACATCCTGCATCATGGTATGGTGCCAGGATGAGAGCAAGAGGGTGGCTCTTCTGGTCGAAACGACTGGTATCTAGTCTGAGGTGACTGCAATGACAGTAATACATGTGTAATGTTGTCAGTCTAATTTATCGGCATGTGGCTCAAATATAGTGCTTCTGAAAATATGCGACAATATTGGATGCAGGAGAAACTGTGAAAATCTCCTGCAAGGGTAATTCTTAAGAGTTCCCTTCATCCAACTGGAAGGGATGAGGAGTATTCATTCAAACTAGTCAATCATGGCAATGGCCATTCTGGGCTTAAAGGATCATCAAGCACTAACCAAGTATCCAATGATATTTATGGTTTCCTTAGCTTAAAGTACAGCATCACCTTTGTCTCCATACGAATTTCAGTACAGTTACAAAAAGAAGCTGTGTATCCTGTCACTCTCCAAGATCACCAATGGGTTGTTGCATCTGGTGCTATGGTTGCCAGCATGCAAATCTGTCTTTTGAGGTCATTTTGCTTGGATCCACATACCCACTCTTTTAAGGTAAGGAAACCGTCATTTGGAAGCTCCATTTATGAGAATTTGTCTTTGTCACGAGATGGTTGAACAACTGACTCGTTTTCTCCGCATAGCTATCCCTGTATTTGTCTGTATTCCAACCTGTTACCTGGCAATACTATCAAAACAGGTATATGTAAAATAGTGTATTCTTGTATCTTTTCTAAGCTTCATTACAGCACTGAAATGTGGTCCTTATTTGTATGCCACACATCGCAATAGATAGTGCAGCAACTTTGGATGTGGTCCTTATTTGTATGTCATACATAGCAATAGATATCGCAGCACTGAAATCTTTGTGCAAGTTGGGAACAATTCATCATCTTTTCAACCAAGCCAGGGAGGTTACAAATACATTTTGTACTGGGGATTTTTGTACTTACTACACTATATATGAGACAGTGCAAATGAGGGTGAAACTACTCATTGATTTCGTCCCAAGCAAGATTGGAGAGCACATAATGACAATGGCAAAGTTAAGTTGTTTATAACCATATAGTATAAAATTGCTGATGAAAAAGTTGTCAAGTTTTATCAAATGCAAGTTGCTAAACCTGGCACCTCGATACTATCCAACATAGCTCCCATCCAGAACTCACTTGGTGACAACAATTTGGTACTGCCCAAGAACAACAAAAAAAAAAATGTATTTTCAATTGCTGTTGTCAGCTTTTGGCCTTTGGGGAGCAAAGAGACGACATCCAGCTTCCAACTGGGGTAGCTTCTATGCTGCGTGTTCTCTCCAGGTCTTAACCTACCATTACATTTCATTCTTTGTATCTTCCAAAGCAGATAAGCCTGAATATTTTTACCCTTGATGCAGTTTATACTCCCTTGACCTTGTGGTGTTGCACACTGGTCAAGCATAAATTTCTTCAAAAAGGACTGGTTAAAGGTATGATCCTGTCCCTGCCGACTAGCATTGCCGGTAGTTTAGTTCACAGCTTGGATAATGTGACATTAGAAGATAAAGTTTGTCACCCTATCTCAACTAAAAAAAAAACTTATGGATCAAGGTGTTACAGTTGTTCCATTTTTTCAGTAAGATCCCGAGCATATGTAAATCACAATACTCCAATTAGATAGACTCAATTAGAACATTCATTCTAAAATTTAGGCAGCAACTTCTTCAATGAGCCAACTTTTTCCATCAGTTTGCACTAATGAAATTCCTCAGACATAGATAGGTACAGTTGCAAAATGCAGTGTGCCCCCAAAACCCCTAAAATGACATAGTTATACAGATTGCTCAATGTTCCAGACTTCCAGGAATGCAATCTGACAATCCAGATAGAGAACAATAAAGAATTTAATCTAGTATTATTTCCCTGTTCTCTCTAATAGATAAAATATTCGTATTTGACCATCTAATACACCCTTATGAACTAATCTTCTGTAGCAAAACTGAAAATCCTAGACTATTTGTTTGTATCTTCAGCTCCTTTCGTAGGTACACTTAGTTAATAGGTGGGTGGGTTGTATTCGGGAGTCTCCGTCCAAGTGCGAATGATTGAAAAAGTCCGAGAGCTCGGTCTGGCTGCGCAAATGGCACCATGTGAGATGCTCCTCGCACCGTCGCAAAGGTCAGAATATTACCATACTCTGTTACCCAGCCTCCAACCTTGAATGCCAAAGGGTCACATATTTCAACTATTAGTAACTTTCACAAATTTGCATTATGTTTTCATAGTGTATCAGCTAATTTGTTTAAAAGGGCGAAAGTATACCTGCCCTCTGCGGAACCAGCTGCTGTATGGGACTGTGACATGCAAGCCCATGTCATGAGCTAGCTCTCGTACAAGAGTTCGGGAGCCCAATAGGGGCACCACAGAGTCTTGATCTCCACTGTAGTGTCAATTGATATTGTCATAACATTCTTCACATTAAACAGAAACAAATTATCTGGAATATAAGTGGAAATACACATTACCTGAACACCCAAACTGGTATTTTGTGCTCTACAATTCTCTGAAGTAATGGCAAGATGTTGATGTTGCCATCCTTATTGCTGTAGTTCAGCACACTGGCACATGTAAATGTTCAATATGAGTTAGACTTGGAAACTAAGGCCTGTTCACTAAATACTATTTGGCATTCTATACATGATAAATATTTTCTAAAAAAATTTCAAATCATCGGTAGTTTCATTAGAAAAATATCTATTTGAAACTTTACTAGAAGGGCCTACAGTTATACTCATTGAGTCCGTACTTACAGCATCCGAAGTACTTAGAAGAAACAGATAATAGACAGAAGTTGACAGATAAATACTTACTCGCTGCACATGCTCCAGCCATAGGGCAAATGTGTTCTGTTAGCATGAAGAGCTTGCTGCACTTCTGGAAGGTTGAAATAGAAATACCTTTCGTAAGTCATACAAACATCCACACCTACACTCATTTTAGTCACCTGCATAGAACAACAATTCAGTCATACCACAAGGGACCATATGTTCTCAAGTAGAAGATTGTATCAACAAGAGTAAGCATACATATTTCCGCAGCCGTAGCTCCTGCATCACAATTGATGGGTAGCACACATCAAGAATAACATCGTAATTGTTCACATAATCCCCAACTATACTGTTTGCCTCTGCAATGGCATCATTGCATGACTTGCTCTCATTGTGGGGGTTGCTAAAGGTATAGTCCTCAAAATCACAACTGTGGCTGATTGATAGAAATATTTCGTCAGAGATCATGCCATGGGACCAGAAATACTCATATGTTGCGGGGACATCTCTGTCAAGCTTGAGAAGCGGATTCCCGATCTATTCAAGGTAATATCAGAGTTACAGAAAACATTTAGAAGAACAAAGTTAACAGATATTGACCAATGTGCGATCAAATTCTTACAGCTACTCCCTTGATGTTGAATTTGAACCCATTTGATTTCTCATTATGTGTGAGAAGTACATCGGTGAGTTGCGGTATATAATGCCCTGAATTATTCGCCAATCAGTCAAAGTGCACGACAGAATTTAAACATTTAAATGTGAAATAAGACTCAGGAATACTCTCTGACCTGCATAGCTCTCTCCACTAAGAAGTAGCCCTCTTGACCTGTATTCAGGGAACTTCTTGTACCATCCCAACAGAAATTTGTACATGTCATTAGCTGCATAGTTGAGCAGGCATACATACAGTCAGGCCAACATATTCAAGTTTAACTGGTCCTTTTCATCTGAAGAAACATCATTAGAACTTACCGGTCTGTGCATCGCCAGTATTGTAATCTGATGAAGTGTTGGAGTAGGACCATCCAACTCCAGCCGGTGATTCAACAAACAGAAGATTGGATACTGCAAAATTTGAGGTAAGGTAACACAGTTAGAGCTAAAGCTACATTTTTTATGCATTCTGAAAACATGTGCTGGGTGGAGATTGCAACTAAAAGTTCAACCTTTGTTCCAAGACTTCTTGTTCAATCTCAGGCCTCTGCCATCTCCTCTCGGATAAAATGGGCCGAGCTCTGTGAACGCGCCACCTCCAACCGAAGAACATCCAGGACCTGATAACAACATGGCCAGCGGTTATAAATCAGTTAATCTTACAGCAAACATTGGCAATCAGCAAGTCACATTTGATTCTGTAGCATTAAAGTTGTTCACAGTTCATTATGTGACAATGTATTGTTCCATGGAAAAAATTCACCCCTAACTTCATTTTGTGCATGGAATGATGGAGATGAAACCAAATGATACCTAAAACTGGTCTAAAAATGCTACCTAAAACTTTAGGTAGTCTTTTGCTACATGGAAATCATTTCTTTAGGTAGTCTTTTGCTACATGGAAATCAAATGATGCATCACTTCTTTTTAAATGCTCTAGGACCACATCACACAGACACCAATGAGGCAAGGGTCCAAGGACACATGGTGACCTCAAAGATACCCTATTCCTCCTTTGCAAGTTGCAAAGTAGTAGGAGTACTAGTGAAAAGGATATCAACATGCAAGTTAAAATTATTTTTGATTTCTTTTTTCTTGGAAGGTGTAGAGCAGATGTAGTTCTTTTTATGTTTCCAGTTCAGGAAACACCTCCTGCCATCATAGTCCCCTGATGAAAAAACATGGAGAATATATATGAACAAAATGAAAATAGAAAAAAAATACATTTTTGCATCTGAGAAGAGATCAGAGAAGATGGTAAATGGAAGCTCATTTCCTGGCTTCACAACTCATAAAATGGCCAAAAAAAAAGTTGTCTCCATTAAAATATTAATGGAACAGTAGTACACAGTACCATTGACAATGACAACTCCAATTCCATCTGTTCATGAAAAGAATTCAGAAATAGTTGCACAAACAGTGGAGATCCAAACGGATACAAAAAGAAAACCATACTAGAAGGAATCAACCGAAAGCCATGCACATAAAGGGAGCAATCTCTATCAAACAACAGTGAGACTCTACCATCTCCACAGTCAGCATACCTCCATAAGAAAAATTCAGAAGAAAACAATCAGAGAAAGTTCAGAGAACCGAGTGAGACACTGACATGCAGCAAGAGACAAAAACATCAAGGAAGAAATCCACACCAATCTCCAAGATTAAAACAAAACAAAACAAAAAATCCAAACCTCTCTTCAAGAATCACATCTCATTCTCAACTTGAAAAAGATGAGAAAAAAACACAATGCTTCAAGATCAAATCCAATAAACACAACACATCACATCACATCACACAGTATGATCCAAGAACTCAGCAGAGAGAGTCAGAGAGAGAGAGAAAAGCAGAGAGACTGACCTCCGTTGAGCCAGAGGGTGAGCGGCTTGGCGGCGGCGCCCTCCGCCGCCTCGGCGAAGTAGTAGAAGAGGCTCCTCCCGGCCTTCTCGTCGACGTCGACGTATCCGGCGAACTGCCTGAACCCGACGACGGGCTGCCCCGGCAGCCGCGCCACCAAATCCTCCTCCGGGAACCCCCACACACCACCAAGAAGAACGCAACCAACCACCACCGCCACCGCCGCCGCCATTGTCGCCGGCGAGCGAGCTCGCAGCAACTGAATTGCGCGCTTGCCGCAGCGGATGGAGAAGAGGAGGAGAAGTGGGTGGGTTCTTGAAGTTGAAGCTTGGGAAGAGATGAAGAACAGTGCTTGACTCTTGGGGACTTTATACTGGGGGCTTCTAGCCTTTTTGAATTGGGATGTGGGAAAAATAATAATTGAAAATATTGTTTTTTTAAATCCGGATTATTAGCTCATAAGTTGTTGCGAGTTTAGGTTTGGATTTTCTGTTCGTTTAATGTTTTTTTTGGGATCTCACTAACAGATAGAGTATTTAATTTGGTGTGAGGAAATAATTTTGAATTGAAAATATTTTGTGGTGTGGTACAGTGAATGTAGACGAGGATGAAAATGGATGAGGAGATAACTAATGTACCTGGACAATTTTTTTCCATTATTTTTCTTATGCCAGATTTGCTAATTGTTCATAGCATGCTGTAAGTAATTCTCCTCGCACTTGGCATATTGTTAGTTCTGATTATTATGTCATGTTTGTGTTACTTGTCAATTTTAGGAGAGGTGTAAAACATAATAAAAGAAATGCAAGGACCTTCACTCCTATTCGAATATGGCTCATATGACATGCTCATAATAATTTTTCAATTACATGAAAGATAAAGGAGTGTTTGGCTAATGGGAATGGAAAATAATTTTCCATCCACTAAAAGACATCTTTAAATCCTAGCTATTTATCCCCCTCTTCCATTTAATCCTAACCCTTCATTTATTTTCCAATCCCAATCCCACTCCTCATTTTCTCATTATCCAAACACACCCAAAGGCGACACTAACACCATTATACATACACTCCACACTCACATATAGTACACAATTGTACCCTCTAAGAGCAGGTACAATAGTGCTATTAGGAAGGCTCCAAAACCTGTTAATTAGCCTAAAACGAGATTAAGGAAAGAAAATCACATATTGAGAAAGAAGCCGGCGCTTGTACTGGCGCCGGCGCTTGCACAGCGCCCCACGCTGTATCGGCCAGGAGATAAAATAAAAAATCCGTTTGTGACCTAAAATGCTTGTTAATTTGTTTGAATCAAGGCAACTTATAGCTAACTTGTAGTTAGCTTGTTATATGAATTGCTCTTTAAGTTAGCTCTACCTGAGACATGACAAAAGGCTGGAGCCTACTGCTAGCTGCACTATTGACCTTGCTCTAACAGAAAGAATCATTTTAGTGGGACTAGGAATTTACAACACCACTGGTAGGTGGACTCTTGTACCTGGAACTGTCATTGTGCTAATCAGAATTTCCTCAAATATACTCACTATATTATTGCTTCTTTCTAAAATGCTCAAATTTTTTTATTGACACCCATAGTTTTTGCTTTGAGAATTACCACTTTCTTGCTATTGACTTTCCATGTTCATGAGAAAAGGAAAAAAATGGTATAGTAGTTTGCCATTTTTGGCATGAGGAAAACTGGTGAAGGCTCAAGTAGGACCTGAGATGAATAGGTAGCCGTTGGGAAGGGTAAATGGAGATAATGAGACATTTATTACAGGCATGCCATGGCAGCCATGCCAATATGCCATTGATTGACCTGGCACCCTTGCGTCAGGCATAGTACGGCGGTCGTCTAGCTCGTGAGCCATCAATACCACCGGATCTCCTGAAACTTGTTCGGATTATACACCTTTCTGCATATCTGTTTTTCATTATTGGGGTGATATCTTTTCTAAAGGAATTTATGTGGAATATCATTGGGTTTCCTCTATTTTGGGGTGCATAATTATTTTTTCTTAAATGTTGTGGTGTTGCACATTCTAATTTATATACAGGGGCGGATCCAGCATAGAGGCGGCGGGGTTTCGAACCCTATTATTGGCGTGAAGACTTTGAGAATCTCTACGAAAACCCCACTAAATTTTTTTACCATATGTAGATAGGAGGGGGGACTGTAACTCGATCTACTTTGCTTAGACCCTACTGCTATTTCTTTCTGGATCCGCCACTGATTTATATATATATATGTACTAAGTCGATTATCTGTCATCAGTACAGTACTTAAGAGATTGTCTATATGAACCTAGTCGCTTGTCACACATAAGAGGAGAGATAGAGAAGGTGACTGGTCATCATTTTCATTTTCATAGCCGATAGTCCGACATTGTTAGAAAGATCTGGTCATATATATTTTTTTCTATGCGTCCAACTAGCAAAACCAATAATAATGTTATATTTTATGTTTTATTGACAGTTGACACTTGCCCGATGACAAATAGTAGTAAATATCTCTCCTTTTAAGTGTGTGATGGTGAAATCTGGTTGCTTTGGTAGCTGACATCCATTACAGTCATCATTTCACTTATGCTGATTATAAGCAAATATTTTTTGAATAAAACTTTTATATGTGCTCTTAGTATTTAAAAAACAAATTCTGGAAAATAAACCATGATAAAAGATATCTCAAGTTTTAAAATTTAAAATTTGGTTGCAGTTTATAATGTAAAGGGTACTCCCTCTGTCCCATAATATAAGTGATTTTGGAGATATGTGATACTTCCTAAGACTACGAATCTGAACAGGAAAAGTATCGCATCCCTCCAAAATCCCTTATATTATGGGACTGATGGAGTAAATGATATGTGTGCATGTTACATTTTGTTTGGTGCATAGATTAAACACCACCACACCATCTTACTATAATACGTTACATATGAAAATTTACAAAATAATTACTCTTAACTAAATATATTGCACCATGAAGCTCTCATTTGTTCAATCATTTATAACATGTTCATGTGATATGCTACACATTAGTATATTACTATCCATGATACTCCCTTCGTTTTATACTATAAGTTGTTTTAATTTTTTTAAGTTTGATCAAGTTTATAAACAAATATTGTAATATTTCATACTATGCTATTTGCCATGATCTCTAACAATCTTACTCCTGTGATTCCTTATCATGGTACTGTACTAGAAATACTAAATGTCAATAAAGGTAAGTAGAAATTAAAAGGTTTGTTAATAATTTGTTTGAAGCAATCCTTGGGAGTATATATTCTGAACCACAAGGCAGTGCCCGTAGAAGATCCGGACGGAGTCAGGCCGAGCGTGTGGCTCTATGCAATCTTACTTGTCAGTATATGTGGAGTCTCAGAACAATTATGACACACAAATTCAGCTCAAATATCAGTATTTTTTAAATCTGTTTTTCCTTAAATCAGTAAACTGCAGTATACTCCGTATTTTCTTTTAAAAAAAACATCTTCCTCATTGTAAGTTGAACTTGCGCATAATCTGCATTTTTTTAGAAAAGAACTTTTATGCTGTAAAGATCACGTGCGAATACCAATCATAGAGCTCTTTTTGTCCCACGGGCCAGCTAGTATTATTGCATAAAGGATTTCAGTTTTTTTTTTTGTTTGGTCAGCTTGAGGACCATATTTTGGTATGTGGAGTTTAAGATTTAAAAAAACGGTTTGGTAGTCAGCTTTTAAAAATACGGAGAAGTTGGTAATTTTTTAGATTCTACAACTATATTTTAGCATAATCTGAGTAAAAAACCTGTCAAAACTCCCCAAATAAACCCTTAGGGCCCCTTTGAATCAAAGGATTTATGTAGGAATTTCATAGGATTCAAATCCTATAGGAAATTTTCCTATTTGACCCTTTGATTCAAAGGATTGAAGCTTTCCAAATCCTATGAAATTCCTATGGAATGACACATTGCATGTAGATTTTGGAGGAAATTTAGCAAGAGCTCCAATCTCTTGGAAAATTTCCTTTGAGTCTATCTCTCTCATCCGATTCCTGCGTTTTTCCTGCGCTCCAATCAAACGACCATTCCTGTGTTTTTCCTGTGTTTTGCAATCCTCTGTTTTACACTTCAATTCCTGTCAGAATCCTATGTTTTTCCTATTCCTCCGTTTTTTCTACCCTGCGATTCAAAGGGGCCCTTAGTATGCTAGTGGAGTACTACTGTAGTAGTACTAGTCGTCTCCAGCTCACTCGTCCATGATATAACATGGGCTCACTATTCACTAACATGATACTAGTAATGTAGCACATGCATATTTAAAAACATTATTAGTTTCACTCAATACAATTTAACTCCTCCGCTCGCGGAAAACTGACGTTGTATTGTTGAGGACAGCTATCACGATTTGACCACAAATTAGTACATTTTGATGATTATATTTTGGCACTGTTTAGATTAAAAAAATTTTGACCAAAAACGTCACGTCAAATTGTTTAGACACATGCATGGGACATTAAATATAGAGAAAAAAACCAATTGCACAGTTTGTATGTAAATTGCGAGACGAATTTTTTGAGCCTAATTACGCGATGATTTGACAATGTGATGCTACAGTAAACATTTACTAATAATAGATTAATTAGGTTTAATAAATTCGTCTCGCAGTTTACAGGTGGAATTTGTAATTTGTTTTGTTATTAGTCTATATTTAATACTTCAAACGTGCGTCTGTATACTTCAAAAACTTTACACGCAAAAAACTAAACACACCCTTTGATGATTGAAAGTTGTATGGTTGTATTTATGATGTTGCACACTTTCATAATATAAAATATTTTCAAGTATTTGTAAATTTTCTAAGAAAAAAAGACTAGGAGTGAAAGTTTGAACTTGAATAGTGCTAATATCAATTCAAGAACGGAGAAAGTCATAATTTTGTTCTTTTGAAGATAAAATATAATGTATATTTAATCCTATTTGTTAATATCTAAATACAATCCAGTTATACATAAAAATGAATAGAATTATTAATAATCTAACAGAAAGTATCCATAGTAGTAGTCGTCCCTCCGTTCCAATATACAGGAAATTTTGGGTGGCTATGACATATTTTAGTAGTACTATCTTCGTCCCATATTACTTGTCTTTTTGAGTTTTTGTTTATCAATGTTTGATCATTCTTCTTATTCAAAAAATTTTAGAATTATTATTTATTTTGTTTGTCATTTGCTTTATTATCAAAAGTACTTTACATATGACTTATCTTTTTTTATATTTGCACTAATTTTTCAAATAAAATGAATGGTCAAACGTTGTAAATAAAAAGTCAAAAACATCACCTATTATGGGACGGAGGGAGTATAAATCTGGATTCATAGTGTATTAAAATATGTTCCATCCCGCTAAAATACCGGGAGAGTAGTACAGTGGTTATGAGCAGATTTGGCTTTGCTTGTTCAGAACCAGACAAGGAGCAAGCTTCTGCTCAGTGCAGGTTGCCAATGCTAACCATGATATTAGCAAAATGCAGATTAATTAGTACTACTAATATAATATCCCCAGGCGTGGGTACGTATGTCTGCACCTGATTAATTAGTCCAATGAGAGATGCTCTTTGGATTAGTGTTTGTAGCATATGGTGTCAGAATCTCATATGGTCCAGGTCCAGCCAAGTATATTTCCAAACCAAAAAAATAAAAATAAAATTACATATGCTCCCTCGAGAAGAACGAGAGATTTGGATATAAAAACAGATCGTATGCTATGTATATATATTAAGCACTTGCATTAGTCATTGGTCATTAGGGCTAATTAATCGAGTTTTCCAATGCAATGAGCTGTAGGAAAATGAGAGACATGACAACCTTGTACCTAGGAAACTCCTATGGCAGAAATGACTAGCATTGACATGGAGCTTGGAAGTACCCCCATCAAAAAACAAAAAACATCTGTATTTTATTTTTGAGATGCCGGCAGTGACATGGCAGCACATATAGCGCCGAGATGCTCCTGGATTTGTAACGCAAGCTTGAGATTAGTGAAGACACCTTCTAGCCTCCCAGCACTACCAAAAACACTGCAAAAAAAACGAAGTCATTTTTCTGGTCACAAATGTTCAAAATACTAGTTTGACCATAAGTTTCTATGATACTAGTATCTATATATACATATAGATAAATGCAATCTTTTTACCAAACAACTGGTTTTTCCTTATCTGTTAATAGCTTTTTAATCACTAGATTAACATCTAAAAAGTCATATACTCATATATCAATATTTCATATATCTTGCTGAGAAACAAAGAATGTTCTAACTAAGATTAAAAATCATACTTTAATTTGCTGTCAATGATTCCATTATAAAATGGTATAAATGTATACAAAAGCATACAAATGCATCTAGGTTAATCCAGGAAATAAAATACAACATAAACTAAAAGTTGCAACAAATGTATAAGTTGCAGTATTCAGATTGCAAATTTAGGTTATATGCAATGAAACTTTAATCGACTGATAAATTTTAGAAAAAAGGCAATTGATGAACAGCTTTGGTGACCAAATTATAATATTATAGAGAACTACTACATGAGAGAAATATATAAATGCGACTTAGACATACCAATTAAAATATTGAAGATACTGGTACTAAAAGTATTGAATGTTAATATGTTATATGTCCAAAACAACATTTTTTTACTAGATGGAATATTATTTATTAGGAATATTTTATATGTATTTGTCCTCTTGATATATCTACTTGCATGTTTGTGTCCAAAAGAAGAATAACATCACTATGCATATTAAAATCTAGACATATCCACATAAAGTATCCTCTAAGAAATGCTAAACACAAATATTCTATGCTAAGATGAATAAAATAATAATAGTCAGTACAAAGATGAATATAACAGTAACTGATAGAGTGCATACTTTATTTTTTATGTGAGCAAGCTTCGTTTTGCTATCCTCTAATTCACACCATTGCTTTAGTTCAGGACAGCCAGAAATTTCTAGATGTTCAAGCATAGTGAGTTGTTCGATGCTCTCCGGCAAAGACTTGATGCCTCTGCATTCCCATATCTGGAGTGTCTTGAGGGATGTGAGGTTTCCTAACCATTCAGGCAGTGCTGAAATGCTCTCACAGTAACTCAGATGCAGTGACAAGAGGGAGGTGAGATACTGCATGCCCTCTGGGAAACTGTTCAGCCTTTGGCAGTGTGAGATGTGCAATTCTTGGAGAGAGGTGAGACTCCCAAACCATTCACCTAATGATGTCAGCATCTGACAAGAAGACAATGTCAATGACTGTAGTGACATGAGCTGCCTAATTTTCTCTTGCAGCTCAGTCAGCGCTGGATACATGGTTATCTTTAGTTCTTGAAGAGAAGGGAGGTCACCCAGCCAATCTGGAAGCTCTGCCTGTTCGTTTCCATCTAGGGATAGTGATTTGAGTGAGTGGAGGTCTTGAATGATCTCTGGTGAGCTAGTCAGATCAGCGCACCAGTGGATGGTTAAGTGACGGAGGGCAGGAAGGTGGTGAAGCAGACTCCACTGACTCAACGGCAACGTACAGAATTTGACGACCAGATTAGTTACTGAACAAGAGGATGAAGATGTACCAGTGTGCACACTCCCTCCCCATGATGATATGACACTTTCACCGCCCTCTATTTTCCACCACGTAACTCTAGGCGGGAGTGGTTTCACAACCAAATTGGGGCAGTCACTTATGCTTAACCACTGAAGGTTGGGGAACATGAACTCAGTCACACCATCCTCACCACAAGAGTATGTTGTATTCCACTCTTGCAACCTTTCCATGCTGTATATGTCAAATGTCTTCAGCTGAGGAAATGCTCTCGCACCACCACAGAAGTCCGCATCGATCTTTGTTATGCTCTTCATTCTACCGAGAACCAGTTGTTTAAGGTTTGGTAACTGACCAAGTGGTAGTATGCTGCATTTCGACAAATCCACTATCTTAATTTTGACAAGATTAGGGAGACAGTGTGCAATGCCCATTAACCAGGTAGGAAAGCTTGTACTGTGATAACCTCGCAGTTCAAAGTACTTCACAGTGCTTGGCGGCACTAGTTCTCTCAACACTTCCATGTCCTCCACGTATCGCTTGGTTCCTATGGTCCAATCAAATTTCAGTTTGACAATATTTCTCTTTCCTGACAATTTTATTCCCTTTGCTTCTTTTGTGGACTTCACATTTTCAAGACTACTTATGTCCAACTCAGCAGGGTTTGCATCAAGAAGCTGACCAAGATTGCTGGATTTCTTGTCAACAGCTTGGACCACAAAGTTTGGCAACAAGATTGGGCCATTGTTGAAACAAGATAGTGTGGACTTAAGTCTCAACAAATCCTTCATAAGTACATATTTCAAGCTTTGAATTTTACTTATACTTTCTGGTAGCCACAATAGTCCAATGCAACCTGTGAGGTCTAATGTGTGTAGCTTCCTAAGGTTACCCAGACTTTCAGGTACACTATAAAGGCTGACATTATTAGACAAATTTAGATGCTCCAGATTTGAAAGGGCACCGATGCACTCAATGAAACTGTGACTTTGACCTGGTGGTAGTTGCTGAAAAATATTACCCTGGAATGTTGATAAATTTAAATACCCTATTTCCAGGAGCTTGTCCATGACTCCAGATTGGTTGCCAAATATATTGTCTAGGAACCCCGATAAATGCAAATGCCGGAGACTGGTGAGATTGCCAATGACTTCTGGCAGCCCTCTCAGACGAAACTGGTTTCCATAATGGTGACAATATGATAAGTTCAAGTACTGCAGTTTTGCAAGGCCATCTAAAGCTTCTGACAAATCTTTAACACAATTACAGCATGACAGATCCAGATGCACCAAATTTTTTAGCTGCTGAAATGATTTCGGTAATTCTTTTATCCCAAAACAACCTGATAGGTTCAAATACTTAAGTTCTGTGAGGCTGCCCAATGTTCTCGGTAGAAATCCAATTTTACGGCACACTGATAGGTTCAAATATTCAAGGTTGGTAAGGCCACAAATGTATTCTGATACATCTTTAACACGAGAGCAATTCGACAAATTTAGGTGCACCAACCTTCTGAGCTTCCCAAATGACTTTGGGAGCTCTTTTAATCGTGAACAACCTGATAAATCAAGATGCATGAGACCTTCAATTTCACCAATTGACTCTGGTAGTGCTGAGATAGCACGAGACCTACAAAGGCTGAGGAAATTTAATTTTGAGAGCTTGGTGATACACTTGGGAATCATTCGATTTTTCATACCCGGAGCATTAAGGTACCTCAATTGCTTTAATTGACCGATAGAAGCAGGTAACCTCAGGATGGAACAGCCACTTAAATCTAAAACTCGCAAGCATGAAGCGGATGAGAATGCAACACCATGAAGCTCAATTTTGCCACAACCCAGAAAATGCAGTGCTCTTATCTTTGCAGGTGAAGGTGTAACCAACTCTAGTGGTTTGCTGCAATCTCTGAGCATTCCATAGCGACAACTGCTTACCCCAATATTGATTTTTTTTCCAGAATCCAGAACTGCATCAAATAAGATTGATCTTGCAAAATCATGCACCAGGTCGTGCATGGTTAAGAACGTAGAATCTTCGTTATGGACCCTAGTAGTCTGCAACAAAAGAACATATAAATATATCACCTTATATGCCACAAAATTAAGAAAACATTGCTATACTTTCGTTGGTCATACTGTTCCAGGAGTTGACCTAGATATTGGCTTCAACATGAAGGCTTTGCTGGTCATGTTCTTTTGCTTTTTTTTTCTTTTCTTTTGCATTATCAATTTTGGCATTGTAATGCCTGTGTGAATTCCTAGTTGACACACAGGCAAGGAGTTACACAACTTCCATTACCTATGAGAGGTTGCCACGGGTATTTGTAATGAGCAGTTTTTCCTCTCCTATCCTTTTTTCCTTAGATTTATATACTCAACTAATTCAGCATTTTGATTCACTAGAAAAAATACCCGTGCGTTGCAACGGGTGAATACTATTTTAATTTTATTATTGTTATATTGTTTATCTAGGGTAAAATTCAGTGTGAGAATTCACTAGAATATATATTTTTTTAGAAAATCTTGAGCTCCAAGTAGGAGTTTAACTTTCATCTCAAGTTAGCAATGTGGAGTTTTTTTAAAAGAGATTTCTTATACGACTCCTTTGTATCTCCAAAAGTAAACAAGCTTAAAAGCTGACTCAAACACATATCTTTATTTACAAAAGCGAACGAACTTAAAAACCGACTCAAATACGGATAACGTACCAAAGTACCAGCAAAAACATCTTCAATTTTTATAATAGTAGAGATTAGAAAAAATGCTTGTGCGTTGCAACGGGTGAATGCTATTTTAATCTTATTATTGTTATATGGTTTAGCTAGGATGAAATTCACTATGGGAATTCGCTTGGATATTTTTTTTTAGAAAATCATGAGCTGCAATTAGGAGTCTGACTTTCATCTCAAATTAGCATGTAAGTTTTTTTAAAGAAATCTCTTATACAACTTGTTTTGTATTTCCAAAAGTAAATAAACTTAAATTCAAATTTATACACGAATCTGTATTTCCAAAAGCGAATTTATAAACCCACTCAAATACAGATGACGTAAGAAAATACCGGCAAAAAAATCTTTATTTTTTATAACAGTAGAGATATGGCGTTGGAAGGACAATCCATGTCACAATGGATTCATGGAACAAATGGCATCTTAGTATCGTTACTCTACATATATTAAGTGGACAGTTAATATTAAGATGCATGGGACTGATTTAGGTTTACTTACCATAGTTTGTGCGGGAACCTGCCAGAACCAATCTGGATAATTCCGTGCCTCGTCGTTCGATTCTAACCAGGCCATCCGCACGCTCTTGAGAAATTACCGAAAATTAATCTATTGCCTCCGTGACACCGATTCTGACGCAACGCGGAGGGAGTGAAACGCAACCGTCCGAGACTCAGGGTGACAGACGAAAATTCCACACAAAAACATCTTGAATTTTTATAATAGGTAAAGATTTAGTACATAATGAGTATGGATTTTTAATGTTATATTGATGGTAGAAACACGTTTGTGAAATTCTCGCCATCCTTTGCAACTTCTAAGAAAATGTTCGGACCTTGATGATAAGTTTTTTTCCCTAAAAAACACAGGACAACTGCGTTCATTTCATTAAGAAAGGAAAAAAACAAACTTAAATAGGAGGGACCAAAAGGACCCTCCCCGTCGCATACAAAGGACGCACGACCAAAGCCCCAAGAAAAGACCAACTAATCACCTGGGGCAAGCGACCTCACAAGAAACTTATGTAGAGCATGGGCTCCGGCTAAACACCATAAGCTACCCTCATTCACTATTGCCTGTGAAACCACCATGACATTAGGGCTAGCACCATTAAACACACGGTCACTGCAGTGCTTCTAAATCTCCCATGCCAAGAGGATTATCAACGAGTTCAGCCGTTTCCACAACTCTTTGATTATCAACGAAGTGATAAGGTATTAAGGTCCATGGTTAGTACTTAGTAGGACAAAGCTTATATCCTACACCACTGACAAGTGATATTCTAAAAGGGGGTAAACCAGTTGTTGGTCTATATACGCTTGGATTCGATCAGAGAAGCCTTCCCCCCGCGTCGCCCCCGCGCAGGCGACACGGGGGGCGAAACCCTAGCGCCACCGCCGCCTTCCTCTCCCCCTCCTCACCTCGCCGCCGCCGGAGCTCGCCGCCGGCAAAGCCGGCTGGCGAGCTAGGATGGCGGCGGCGGGGCCTTCTCGCGGCGACGTCTCTCCTCTGTGCCCGCGCGCGGGTTGGGGGGGGGGGGGCGGCGTTCGTCGGCGGCGGCGGGGTCTCCCAGGCTGGGCGGCGGCAGATCCGGCCCCGCCGCCGCCGGATCTACGATGGCAGCGTCGAGAGGCATGAAGCGGGGGCGGTTAGGCTGGTTTGGTGGTGGCGGCCCGCGGGGTGGCCGGCGCTAGCGGGGCTCCACCGCTGCAGCGGGTCGGCGTCCGGGGCGGCGCGTCGGCCTGCCTTCATCGGCGCCAGCTGTCTCCGTCGGTCGGCGGGATTTGAGTCCTGCCGGGGGGTCGCGTCGGAGGCTCCGGCCGCTCCAGTCGCCGGCAACCACCATTTTCTCTTTCCTTCCCTACTCTTTCTTCCTCTCTCTGTCGTCTCGGCATAAGCAGTAGGGGTGACCGGTGACCGTCATCCCCCCTCTCCCCATATTTTCTTCCTTTCAGTTGCTCTGCTGTTCGCCCCAGTGCTCCTCTCTCTGCACTGGTGGTGTGGTGAAGTTGGAGGTGGTTGCCGCAGTTGTTTGGATTGTCCCGCGAAGCCCGGAGATCCTCGCTAGAAACATGGATAACACCGATGTCTTTGCTCCCCCTGCCGACAGCTCTCAGTTCCCCTTCAGGCCGGCCAGGCCTCCTCCCTTCTCTTGGTCGTCTGCTCCCAGGCCGGCCGTGGAGTCTTTTGGTGGTGGAGTTTTTTGTTCGTCCGTGTTGGTGGTCCAGTCTGTCTGCAGTCAGGGCGCTTGGGCCTCGCTGGTGCTTCACGTGCCATGTGGCTGTGTAAACCTGTAGTTGTGCCGAGTGCAGAGCGATGTCCTTACCCCCTTCGGTGTAAGTTTTTTGTGTTAAAGTGGAGTCAGAGCTGCTGCATCGGGTTCAGCCGATGAGCTGGGCAACGATAACACTCAACACTCTTGCTCTAGCTTCTTAGAGGTCCTGCACTTCTTGAGGGAGTCTTAGGCGAAAGCCCTGCCTGGTCTTCCAGGATCAGTGACATCGACGCCTGTGGGTGTCGTTTCCTCCTTGGAGGTGTTGCCTTGTGAACTCTCTCCACTTCGGGTGAAAACCCAGTCCAGTTTTGGGCGGGCGTCGGCAGCGGCTTCTGTCGTTGTTCACCTCCTTGGAGGCCTTGCTCTTCTCTCGATCACTTCTGTGGGTCTAGTCGTTTTGTCACATGTTTTTTTTGTGTCTTCTGTGTAAGGTTTTGCCAGTTTCCCTTTAGCAAACTGTGCAACTGTACGGTTTTCGGGCCCTGTTTTCCTTATAAAAAGGGTCAATTCTCTTCTTCTAATATATCCGGTAGATCTCCTACCATCTTAAGTTTCAAAAAATAAAAGGGGGTAAATGGTATTCATGCAGTTACCCATCTTGCAGGCTTAAGTGGTATGGATTGGGCAGTGGGCACCAAATCATTGTATGAGGCCTTGTGGACTTCTTTTCTGGAATACTGGTGTGGTTTACTCCTTAAAGCTGATTTTCGTTTACTAGGCCAAGATCATTGGAACATATAAAACTCGGTACTCTATTAAAACCTACCAACAAGGAGCAAACAAACCCCCATGGAAGTTTACCACCATAGCAACAACAAGACCAATGATATTGCAATGATTACAGATTAAAAGTTCAAGAAAGTTCTGGCACAAGAAGCTCCACATAGAACTTTGAAGTGGGATCTAGGAATCACAGAGAAAGAAATGGAGAGAGAAGAGCTTGTCTTCTTCCTCACATACAGGAAACCAATGACGTTCAGGCATTGAGGGTGGCCAGAGACACGAGTTGTGGTGAGGCCTTTAATAGGCAGCCTGAATGTTCCAAGGCAGGCTAGGCTAGGCAACCGGTTAGCTTAGGTACTTGCCAGAGGCCTTCTCCCATGAATTTGGTATAATTAGTGAGCAAGAAAATTGCAAGCTATTAACAGTAGATTGGGTAGCCAACTCAGAAGATTGTCTGGGTACCTAGGAGGTGGGCATAGTAAAGCCAACGGAAGTGGGAGGTGCCACTAGCATCACAGTGGTAGTGTCCATGAACCCATGAAGATGGCAGTAGAATGAGCTGAGGGGAGGACGTATTGTAGCAATACCTGTTGCATATATTACACCACACTAGTACTCCATTAAAGACTTTAGTATATTGATACTTCTATGAAATAGTTTAATCCACCCAATGGCATGTAGCTCATAATAGGGGTATGTGTCAGATATGCCTCAATGAGAAGGGCTAGCATGATAGCATATTAGCATCTAAGATTTCACTAAAGAAATAAATAATATTGAAGCTGAAGGTCCACAGCAATTAAATTTAGTTTACGTGCTTTTCCACAGCTTATAGTAGGGCCAACTCTAAAAAGGACCATCTGCACAAATTCCCTTGCTGTAACTGCAAATGGATGTAACTTTTGTATCTTGCCAAATTCTTTTTATTTTTAGAACATTTACTTATTTAAATTTGAAAACTACCAATAGCTAAATTTCATTAAAAAAGAAAAGGTTTTGGACACCTAGCAACCAAATGTTGCCACTTCTTGAGCAATGGTTTAGCGAGTTACTATAGTGCCATTGCTCATGGTGTGACATCATATGTTTTGTGATGCCACAGGCTTTAACAGGTGCAACAGTGTTGTCCTGCCACACCAATGAGGATGGCATTGTGTGGCCAAAAGATGCAAATCTGGAGATAAGTTTAGCAGGATTTATTTTAAAATTATATTAAAGAAAGGTTCAAAATATATAAAAAAATCTCAGATATGTATTTATGTGTGTACTATAGGCTAATAAAGAAATGATAAAGCTGTTCAGCTATAGATGCATGTGGTAAGTAGAAACTCACTGAAGGAGCCTTTGTTTGTTGAAGGAAGCACAACCCCAAAAGCTGTCTAACATATGCCTCACCAAGCTGCCTAGTAGAGAATATGTCAGATTGCTCTATGAAACCAAGAGCATTCCATTGGTGAATTATTTGGTCTTTTACTATGATGTGACCTTTTGGAAAGATTGCACAATATGCAAAGCATAACCTCAGGTTTGGAGGCATATTGCTGCAGCTCAATCACAAGGATGCAAGCACATTATGATATGGCAAAGATGTACATTCGAAAGTAGATGCCTTCCAGATATCGTTGTTTCTCACTGATACCCATTCATCAAACTTCATGGGTTGCAGAGTATATCCAAGTGATTTGGCTGCTAAAGCCACACCTCCACACTTAGATGCTATTTCCCTTCCTATATTCTCCAATTGTTCTTTGTCATCTCTTGCTTCAAAGACACTCTTTTCTTTTATTATTTTCCAGCACATGTCATCTGTCAGGGGTTCTAGTTTGTACGGTTCAGTGGTGCAAATCTTCTCTGCAATGTCCTTATCTCGGGTGGTTACGATGGCAATCACCCTGCTGCCCCTGCCAACCTTTAACATAGTCTTCAAATCATCTAACTGAAATTGATCCCTCTCCCATAGGTCATCTAAAACAATTAGAATCTTCCTACCGGAAAGTAGCTCATCAAGACGCCTATTTATCATCTCCCTTTCAGTCAACTGGCTCTCACTTTCCGATACTTGTGAAATTATAGAGTTGCTAATTTTGTTCAAGTCAAATGTCTGAGACACATATATCCAGACCTTAGAGTAGTCTCTGAAATTGGAAGCGTTGAAAACCAGTTTCGCCAAGGTTGTCTTGCCTATGCCTCCAATGCCATATATAGGAAGGATTACGGTCTCTTCAGTCATTCTCTTGGACAGAGAAGATATAATTATCCGCTTCTCTGCAGTCCTCCCAACAACTAGTGCTTCTTCCACCTTGGACGATGTTTCCCGTTTATCAGTAACTCTGTGCTCCTTATAGCTGCTATCTTCCGTGAATCTGAAGCTAAGATGTTGATTAGTGATCTCCTTCAGTTCATCACTTATCGTCTTCATCTTATTAGCTAGGGTAATCTTGTGAGCAATAGTCAGATTGGGGATCATCACACATCCCAACTGCAGAGAATTTACTGATTTGAGTTAGTAATAGAGGAATACTCGTCAATAAAATTTACTGTATTTCAGATGGGGAAAATCGGAAACATCCACTAGTAAATCCATAACCAAAGGGCCTGTTCAGATTGTAGCCAAAATAAAACTTATCAAATTTTAGCAGGATTTCTTATGTATTTACTAAATTTGGCAACAAAATAAACGCGAACATTTTTTTTTTGGCAATGGTATGGTTGAAAATGGTATTAATCTGAACAGCCCAAAACTGACGGCACGCAACGGCAATAAATAATACTATCTCCGTATTTTAATGTATGACGCCGTTGACTTTTAGTCCAACGTTTGACCATTCGTTTTATTTAAAAATTTTTAAATAAAACGAATGGTCAAACGTAGGTGTCATAGGGAGTAATAATAGGCAAAACCGTAATAATAATAATAATAATAATAATAATAATAAGGAATAACAAAAAGAGGCGAGAATCGCTGCAGTGGAGATTGCGCACCTTCCCCGCATCCGATTTGGAAGTGATGTTCTCCAGGTCGTCGAGCATGTCGGAGATGTCGTAGGCGGCGTCCTTGAGCCTCCTCAGCCACAGCCGCACCGCCGCGTCGCGGATCGACCGCCTCTCGGCGTCCCTGAGCACCGCGTCCACAGACTCCAGCGTGGCCTTCATCCCCTCCAGATCCTTGTCGAAGTTCCACTGGAGCATGACCCGGCCCGCTATGGCGGCGCCCAGCTTCTGGGTCGCCACCTTGAGGACGGCAGATGCAAGCATTCCCCCGACTTCCGCCACCGCCATGGCCGCCTCCCCCTCACTCCCAAGGTCTAGTTGCGTTCACTCCATGGGGAATCGGCAAACTTTAGGCTAGCTGCACTGCCACTGCAGTGCTTGATTTGTGCCCCTGCCCACCCCCCCAACGCAATTTTATTGCTCGTCTCCCGCTCGTAGTAACCAATTTCGCGGTGTCTTCTCGTATGGTTGCTCCCAAAACGATCAGCTTTTCGTCCGGATTAGAAAATACTCCTCTACTAGAAGCTGCTGACTCTTAGAAGCTGCGGACTCACCAACCAGATGGGAGTTAAAAAATAGTTCCACCTCTGTCATAAAGTATAAAAATCTAAACGAAATATAATCTGAATTTGGATAGTCTCTTGTCTAGATTTATTGGAATAGGATGTGTCTCAGTCGTAGATATTCGTGTTTAACGTTTGACCATTTATTTTATTTAAAAAATTTATATTTTTTCTAAAAAAAAGTCCCACACAAAGTACTATTTATATTTTATCATCTAATATAATAAAAATATTAATCATAAAAATAATTCAAATATGACGAAGAGAGTAAACGGCTTCTTCTCAAAATCAACTCTCTTAAACATGCCATTGTCCTGTTTTGGTTGCTATATTTTTCTTAAGATTTAATTGAATTTAAGAAAAATTAAAACAATTTATGATATGAAACGGAAACGGAAACGGAAACCGAAGGAGTATAACGGAAGGTCCGTAACGCGTGTAGCAGTTGAGAAAGCCTGTGTAACAAGCGCGCGTGTCGCGTGTCGTGGCATGTGGCAAATCTTTTCATAAACGCGTAGGAAAATAGGATACGGATCTCTACATTTCGACGGTAACAACGTGTCTCGCTGCACTCTGTGTGGTTAGAGTGGATTTGCCGACCAAATCATGTTGTCTTCCTGCGATGGAGTAGTAGTTCACCAAGTAATTAATCATGCATTTTTTTTTTCTTTTGGAAGCACCCATAACCCTGACATAACCGATATTAAGAGACTAATGTAATGTCATATGCATAAAGTTCCAACCTAAGGCCTGGTTTAGTTATCAACTTTTTCTTCAAACTTCTAACTTTTTTTATCACATTAAAAATTTTCTACACACACAAACTTTCAACTTTTCCGTCACACCTTTTCAATTTTAATTAAACTTTTAATTTTAACATGAACTAAACACACCCTAAATGGTTTGGCATGCCAGCTAAGCGCGCTTCGATCCCAGAAGTAAAGCATCCACAGAAGCCACTAAAGTGCTTCTTCCACTTCCTAGATATTTCACTAAAAAATGAAAAATCTTTCCTAACATAGACTTTATTTTCCCAAACGGACTAAAAAAAATTCCCGCTTTTTTCCGCTTGAACAAGAACAAAATATTTAGTTCAAAAACAATACAACAAGATATATATATATATATATATATATATATAATAGTCTTTAAAAATATTATAATATAAGTAAATATTTTTTATTTATTCTATATATTATAATAGAAAGCCATAGTTTAAGAGATTAAAAAAAATCCAAAACATCGTGTCAGGGTTATGAATACCACATACCTAATAGTAGTTGACTAAATCTCGGCAGGACCCACCACATACCATGTCCTATACGGAAACAACCTGCGGATATATGAGGAGTTCCGGATAAGGAAAGACAACCAGAGTTCTATATGGAAATGACAAGGACTACTCGGATTGTATCCATATTGGTTTCCCTAGTTCTACTTGGATAAGGGGATACCTATGGGTATAAATACAAGGCCCCCCTAAGAGGAGAGGGGAGACGACCACCTCAATGGACACCTACCACAATCAACATACACGGAACCACAGAAGCTACAACATACAAGCCGACATACGCCAAGACAAGCCGCCGGATATCGACTTCAGAGATATGCCTGGATCGGCCCTATCCGGTACCTACATAGGCCGGCCGTAGGGATCTAGCGTTGTTTCTGATCTCGCCGGGCACGAACTCGAGGAGAAGACTACCCTGTTGTCGACTACGAGTTAGACGTTCAGACCGCCATGTCGACAACAGTTAGATAGGCTACCCCAAATATTGTACTGGTGTGATTATAATGAATAAGAGCAATGACCGGCTTCGGCCAACAGGATGTAGGGTTATTACCTGACAATTCAGGGGCCCGAACCTGTATAAAAATCTCTGTCTCCGTCTCTTTTACCTCAGTCTCGTATATATCCTAGTACCAACGATCCCCATACTATACAAATACCGGAATCTCGACATCAAACGTCGACACATCGGATTATGGAACTGGAGGGAGCATAATAGTATTTGCAGGGTTAATGGTTTTGCCTACTATCACCACTAAGGCTGCGTTCAAGCGCAGGAGAAAGGGAGAAAGATTGTTTCATTTTCCGCGCGCACGCTTCCCGAACTACTAAACGGTGTGTTTTTTGCAAAAAAATTTTATAAGAAAGTTGCTTTAAAAAATCATATTAATCCATTTTTAAAGTTTAAAATAATTAATACTCAATTAATCATGTGCTAATGGCTCACCTCGTTTTGCGTATCTTCCCCATCTCCCTAATCCCCATCTCCTCAAACACACCCTAATTCGCTCAGTATCTTGAGTGCCTTTCCCTCCCAAGTATCATGATGAGCGTTTCATGCAATTTTGTTTTCAAAAAGAATAAACATCACCCAAAACAAGCAATTTCCATATCGTTTTAGCACAAAAGGAAAAGAAAAACAAAATCAAAGATATAAAAATCGGAAGGGGTGTGGCATGTTAGCAACAAAGGTGTCACATCTGAAGTTCTGCTTACTCTGAGAAGGCAGCAACATCAGACACGATCCTCCTTGGTTGAGTTCTGCTTTACTGTCAAGATGGATCACAACATATTGCTACTTTGAACTTTCAGATTACTGACGCTGACAGCATTTCAATGCATCAAATACGAAACTGTAATATATTATCTGGAAGGGGGAATACACCATCTTTAAGATCTGATACAAACATATTGATGTACATCATATAACCCCCAGCTAAATATTCTGAAAGGTGGTGGAAATCCCACCCAGCATTTCTAGACAATGCATAAGTATAGTATCAAATCGTTTAAATATTCTTTTTTTTTTAAGGAATGAATCATCTGTGACTCTATACGGCTAACAGGTGCTGAATGTTGATGGAACCCTATCCAAAAAAGGGGCTTTCAGCTTATCAATAGCCTGGATCAACGAAAGATCTCGACAGCGCTAGGTTGACACTGATGCTGCTTTGTATCTGAGAAATAGCCATCTTCCTCTTGACGGCATGAACTGTATGACAAACAAATTCTTGACAGTCTTCAAACTTCTTCAGGTTGTGCCACCAGGAAGATGAACAGGTAATTTGCTGTTGTATTCTGTTACATATACAAGAGAAAAACTTGATAAGAAAGACAAGAGGCAAAAGCAAAATAGAAGAGGCAATGATTTCATAACAGCCATTACATACCTGATAACTACATATAGCTGGTGAAATATTGCCATCCACCATGCTCACCTATTCTGCAATTTCATTTTCTCTGTTCCTGTAGAAGCAAAAAGGAAAAAACAATAAGACCACAATTTAATAATAGCATACAGGATATACACAGAAAAAGAACATACTCTCGGAATGAATGAACACCCTTGCGGAAGTTCTCCCATTCTTCTGGATCATCAAACTAATTCATAGAGAAAACATATTAGCATAGCTTTTGTAAGGTGCAAAAGGAAAACAGGGTAAGGGTGGAAATGTCTGACACACCAGCTGGCTGAAATCTTCTCCCAGTGCTTTGTTCTGAAGAAAACAGTAGATAAAGTAAAGAACATATATACCACATTCATCCCCATTCTGCTGTGGCACCTGAAAAGTTATTTAAGTAACATGATAAGAAATTCAGATAAGATGAACATGATGCAGAAACTGAAACGGTGCACTTTGAGATGTTAAACACCATACCTCAGGAAACTCAAGACAGATTTTGTTAATGAATTGCTCATTCTCTTCCCGCTCTTCAGTTTTAAAAATATCAGCAATAAATCTGGTACTCCAGCAAAAAAAAGGAAGAATCAAATTTAACTAAGAGACTCTAAGTACACAAGTTTGTCGCTTATATTCTATCAGAAGTTGAGTTGTATAATTAAATAGTCCCTGTGAAAACAAACTACTAAGGCCTCAGTAGGCACAAGCAAGAGGCAGAAGTTTGAGGTGGCTATGTTGAGCAGCATAAACTGATTGTGGGCCTGTGACAACAAGCACCCTAATTACCGAAACATTGTCCAAGTGTCCAAAACCTATATTGGGTCTAACGTTGGATATATCGAAGTTGAAAAAACATCCATTATGGTTAAAGAGAAACAGGTATCTAGTAAGTCCACCTGCTGGGCTGTTCCAAGTTCCAAAAATATATTGTTGCATTCCCATACAGAACAAAAGAACAGTTTGTTTTTAATATTTCAAATTGCTGGTAGCAATATAGATCTATATGTATTATCAAGAGACCCATATTGAAGGGGGAAAGGATCAGACCTTTTGATATTCGATCGCAACCTTGTCGGATTTGTCGTTTTAAGTGAATCCAGCAGCAGCATGCGTGGTCCTTTGTCAGTACCCAGGTAGTCTGTCTCACCAAAGTTGCATAAGACAAGGAGGTTCCAGTGTCCCCTGCAGTTAAGAAAGTGGATAATTGAATATATTTGATAATGAAATTAATAAACCATAGGGTTACTGGTAGTGAAGCAACTTACCATATAACAATAGGAACGAAAACATATTGTCTTGAAAATACTTTCTTAGCCTTAATCCATTTAAGGACATTTGATTTATTATGTCCGCTAGTGTACATGTGAAACCACAATGAGTCAAAGTATGCATAAGCACTCCTCTTTTCTTCATCAATGTCCTTCCAAAGATCCCTATTCACAAAGTTATGAAGTAAATAAGAAGAGAAACTAATGCACGCACAGAAGAGAGAGAGAGAGAGAGAGAGAGAGAGAGAGAGAGAGAGAGAGAGAGAGAGAGAGGACATACTCCAGATATAATTCAAAAATCTCAGTATCCAATTTGTCTTTATTCTTTTTGTCCCTGTTGCTTGATGCAGTGCGAAGCGTTCTTCTATTTGGGTTTAGGGCATCAAGACCGGAAGGCAATGCACTTTTCGAAACATTCCTCGCTGCTGGCTTGATGGTTCTTCGAGGACGCTTGTTCTTGCACTCTGTATAACAAACATAAAATGAAAAATAGGACTAGACCTCAAGATATGAAGATACACTCCAAAATTCCAGTAGCCTGGTTCACATCATGGTACTAAAGATTCCAACATTCAAACATAATGTTGGCTTTATGTAGCTATTCCTTTTTGTAATTATCACTATTCACTAGATCATAGTTAAATACTACTGGGAGGATGGCTAGGTGGCACCACTTATATGGGATGAGAAGCAGAATATAGCTGGGACATTTTTACTGCAATCCTTATCAATTATCATATTTCTAACCATCCAGGCCACCAATAAAATAATTACTACCATGTTCTGATACATGAAAACACTTGTCCAGGCTATGGCATTGTTATATCTTCACAACAGAAGACCAACAATTTGAATACTCTAACATGGACAGAATGGAACAGGAATAGTGAACTGAACTATAGAGATGAGCATAATGAGGTTGTGACCTGCTTTCCATGCTGCAAACATTTATCCTAGCTACAACACAAATTCCTAGTAGAAGAACCACAATAGAGTTGTACCTAACGATCCGATCCTCTTAATCAAGATGCACATGGAACTCTTTTCAGTTACAACTTCCAATATACATGGAACATCATCCTATAACTTGATCCTCCAAATGACCAAATCCTATAACCAACACAAAAACCTAATACCTAAATCCATAACCTATCAGAATAACTCTGTTTTAGCAAAAACATATAAATTAATATTTTAGACACAATGCTAGAATATATGAACAAATCTAAACAAACATTATACTTTGTATGATATTCAGAATGAAACCCTTCAAATTAGCACTGAGGCACAGGTCCTAGTTTGACAAAGTTGGCACTAAATTCTGTACGGAGCCACCAATAAACTAGAGCAACTAAAGTTCTATTGCTTGCCACACATGGATAAATAAATACCATCAGCTACAGAAATAAAAGGAAATGAATAATAAGCAGTGATTAGGTGTGTAAATAACAGACAGTAAAAGATGACACCTCCACCTAATTCTTGAATGATATGCCGCCATTTTAATGCCCTCTATGCTGTTTAACTTTTATTAAAATTTACAGCATAGACACAGTTATATGGACAAGGTATATACCAACTATAGGTGATGTACGCATTAAATCAACAACACAGTGTGGGCGCACTAAAAGGTTACCCAAACAAGCACCAGACAGCAAAATCAAGCCATGTAACATGTAATCAACATCGCCGGGCGAAACAATCAAGCATATCACATCATCAACATCACATTAGCTACTCAACGATGCAATGGATCCATGTAACTGTTCTAAAAGCTCCCGCATAAGAATATGCAGCTTGAATGACCCATCTCGCCTTTAGTTTAGAGCCAGTTACAAATCCTAAAGATACAGGGCCTATAATAAACAAATGATATGATAAAGTGTAGATAAACAAATGAAAGAAGGTATAGGCCCTACACAATCAAGAAAATAAAAAATTATGCAGCAGTGAACCTACAAAAGTTTGCCCGTTTCCAAATTCCACCACATAGAGCCAGCATCATCAGAACCAGCACCAGAATTAAATCTAATCTAACAAAACTAAAAAAGAAAATCCGACTTTCTGTCACCACCCCAGGGGACCTACAAGTCTAGAACCCCTCCCCATTCCCAAGAAAACAGAAAACAGAGCCAAACGCCGTCTTCCTCCCACCACCACCACCACCGCAGCAATCAGATCAACAAGAGCGCAAACACAAACACACACAGAAAATTAAAAAAAACAAAACGAAATTAAAAACAGAGAGAGGAGATTTGGGCGCTCACCATCGTCGCTGTCGACGAGGTCGACGACGGCGACCTGGTCGCAGCCGCTGCTCCGGGCGCGGCGGCGGGGGGCCATGGCGGCGGGGGTGGGGGGGGGGGCAGGAATGGCTCGCGGCCTAGGGTTTCGATCCGGGGGTGGGGATAAAAAGTGGGGGAGGAAGCGGGAGCTCGAATTCGGGGACGGTTTCACACTACTCGCCTTTGTTCGTTCTTCTTCACCTCCTCGCGGTGTGTGTGTGTGTTTTTCTTTCCTCTTTGGGGAAGAAGGAGCGTTTCCACTGGGGCGGGTGACACGTGGAGGGCCCGGATTAAGCGAGGGGGTTCCCCTTGTCGGCTGCTCGTGGCCGTTGGATCTGGGCCTTCACGGGCCCAACAGGGGGATCCCCCCCAACGGCCGAATGGCTTGTCCAGTTGTTGTCCTCCTGCCCCTACAGCTGTACACTGGGATTGATATCCTCTACCTTCGAACTCACCGTGTGATCACGATTTGTTAGGCTCATATATCAGTGATAAAGTCTCTGTGCACTTGTAGTATAAAACTTCTGAATAAAAAATCTATGAATATTTGGATGGTTTGGATAAAATTTGGGTCGACTTTGAACCTCTTTCTGGTTCCCACGAATGTAGGAAGTTTCACCAATCTCGCTCGCCGGAATTTGGCCTGAAATTGTTCATTTGGGCACAGGTGTCAACCCAACAAGAAAATTTAAGAAAATTTTAGTATTGTTGTACTACCTCCATCCTAAAATATAATAATTTTTAGCTATGCATCTAAATTGTTTCACATATATAGTCAAAAATTGATATATTTTGGCGAAGTGAGCATAGCTCAACTGGTTAGGTTCCTTGTGGTGGAACCAGCCCACCCGGGTTCAAATCCTAGATTTGACACGGGTGATCGCATTTACGGCTAATTATTCTTTCAGTGGTAGGCGACGTACCCGTCGACAGCGAGGCGCTGTGGTGACTTCGTCAATCTCAAGATATGCCGGCCCAGTCTTCCGGAGGTGCTCATAGGGTGGTGACTTCGTCAATCTCTAGATATGCTCAAGATATGCCGGCTCAGTCTTCCGGAGGTGTTCATAGGGTGGTGACTTCGTCAATCTCAAGATATGCCGGCCCAGTCTTCCGGAGGTGCTCATAGGGTGGTGACTTCGTCAATCTCTAGATATGCTCAAGATATGCCGGCTCTTCCGGAGGTGTTCATAGGGTGGTGACTTCGTCAATCTCAAGATATGCCGGCTCAGTCTTCCAGAGGTGTTCATAGGGTGGTGACTTCGTCAATCTCAAGATATGCTCAATATATGCCGGCTCAGTCTTTCGGAGGTGCTCATAGGGGGTGCTCAAGATATGCCGACTCAGTCTTCCGGAGGTGTTCATAGGGTGGTGACTTCGTCAATCTCAAGATATGCTCAATATATGCTGGCTCAGTCTACTTCGTCAATCTCAAGATATGCTCAATATATGCCGGCTCAGTCTTCCGGAGGTGCTCATAGGGGGTGCTCAAGATATGCCGACTCAGTCTTCCGGAGGTGTTCATAGGGTGGTGACTTCGTCAATCTCAAGATATGCTCAATATATGCTGGCTCAGTCTTCCGGAGGTGCTCATAGGGGGTTCTCAAGATATGCCGGCTCAGTCTTTCGGAGGTGCTCATAGGGTGGTGACTTCGTCAATCTCAAGATATGCCGGCTCAGTCTTCCGGAGGTGCTCATAGTGTGTTCATAGGAGTGAGTGTGCGCATGTTGTGAGCGCCTGTGTTTGTACTGTGTTTCTAAAAAAAATTGATATATTTTGGGACGAAGGTATAACTAGTTATCTCTGATACAATTTCACTAGTAAATTATTATCAAGTTTGTTATATACTCCCTTCATATTATTTTACATTACGTAGGTTAGTTTATTTTTGAATTAACCAAACTGAAAAAGAAAAACAGGGAGAGTATGTCACGTAGCAATCAGCATACAATTATCCCATTTCACATAGCCAGCAAACAATTTGTGAGCCCTATGGCATTGTGCTTTGGAGAATTTGTCGCTAACTAATTGCTTGAAGTTATGTATCTTTCTTTCCTAAGATGAATGCATATTTCGAGCAATAAATTAACCACAGAGATGTGCAAGAAAAAACTTTTTTCACAACAAAAGCTAAATGAAATTGTGAACCAATTAGGATGAAGCCTAACTAACATCAATTATTCGATACCTATTCTAACAAACTCCACCTTGACGAATATACGACACCCAGAAGTAGTTAGAGTCATCGTGCCGATCCACCTGCCCTCCAGACTTCGGTTGTCTTCCCTCCGCAACTTCATGATGAGCTGCCCGATGAGCCTGCACCAGACCTACTCCCTTCAAGAAACTCTGCTATTCCTATAACTTATTTCTCTGGACTCCATCTACAACAATGCTCCATCTTCTATCCCATCATCACAATCGTCTTGACAAGTAAAATTGAATTCCTTCTTAGATGTCACATCATAGACTCCTCGAAGACCATGTTCACCTTCATCTTCTATCGTAAATTTGATTTTATTTAATCCATGGCTAGATAACCCATGTCATTACCGAATAGATAAATTAAACTCACCAGACTGATGAATAACCCTTTCTTCCTTGTAATCTTATGGACCGAGCTAACAAATCCATCCATGCTTTCCTGCATCTGTAGTAGTTTGAGTCGTTGATAATTTGAGAAAATTCATTGTTGCTTTGAATCAATTGAAGAAATTACCACCATAGTGATTGCTCTTCCTTTTCAGCGACACATATTCCACATATCCCCATCATGTAAACCACGCAGATCCTGGATATATCTTGTACTACCAAACAGTCTCGTTGACACCACCAATGTATTCAACCCGATGTTGCCCGGGACTTTTCTTCAGTTTTGGTCTAACTCCATATATCTCAACTCATTGTCGAGTCTCAGATATATCATGTCTCCGCCAGATAATTCCATATGTGACCTGACCGACCTGCCGCTAGGTTTGGCAACGGAGCGGAGCAGGTCCGGGTTGGACAAGAACGGCCCCGACCCCGAGCCCCGATTTCCTCACTCGTCCCCGGCCCTGAAGAAGGATGCAGGTGCAACACAGGACCCGCCCCCAACCCCGCAGGGAACCCGCCACCTAGCCGGGGCCCGCGCAACGGAGAGGAGCGTTGGTGACCGATCGACAAGAAGACGACAACACAGGGGCGGTGGTAGAGGGCGACAGCGCGCGGCGTACAGACAGCGACAGAGGATGATGACACGAGGCCCAGGGGCGGCGACATAGGGCGATAGCGTGAGGGCAGCGGGAGAGGCCGACGACGCACAGTGTGGGGACGGCGGGAAAGGCCGACGGCGTGCGGCTCGGGCGGGGCAGGCGTGTTGCGCTGTCGCTACCCTCTCGCCTCTCGCGCTTGAGTGAGAGGTTGGTGCCTGGCGGCGACTGGGAGGAGTTGATTTAGAGTTTTGACCTTTCCTTTTATACTATAGCAGTAATAATTGGGCCAATGTTAATGGGCTTTCTACATAAATTGTATGGAAAATAACTAATGGACACCTTTACCGGGCCCCCGAAGGCAAACCCGTGGGATGACCGGGGCCCCGACCCAATGGACCTGCGGGTTGAAAATCTAACCTACCCCCGTCCACGCAGGGGACCCGGCCCCGTGGGGGAAATTGCTATACCTACCTGCCGCCGTCAGTCTACTCGCCCTTCTCACTTGAAAACTATCCAAACCATAGAGCCTTCTTGGCCTTCTTATGGATCTGTTCATAAGTTTCAGCAACAAACCACCGTCCATTGTACTCGGTATAACCGTCCAAGCTCTGCAGTTTAACCAATCCATCGGTCTAACTACCCTACCGGTATAGTGCAAAACCATCATACACGCGCACCTCACACACCTTGTCTCGAGCCGTATACTCACTGCTAGGGTTGAAAACGGTAGCAGTAATTACCGGCTGACCGGGCTACCGCTACCGAATTTGACCTATCGGATGCTTCGGAAACGGTAAATGTCGGAAACGGAAACGGTAAAAAAAATACGGAAATGATATCGGAAAAGGTTTGGTAATTTACCGACTGTTTTGTGTGGTTACGGTATTATCCCGGTAATTACCATTTTTACAAACATCACTGGCCGGCTGGCCCAAGTTATTTTTCTTTGGCCCATTTTCTCAGCCCAACAAAAACCCTAAATCCCTAACCTAGAGCTGCTTGGCTGCTCCTGGCTGCCCAATCCCCCAGTCGACCTGTCCCAAGTCCAACCAGCGCCGTCGTACTCATACGCATCGGCGCGGCGGCGCGGAGGCACCAACGCAGCGGCGCAGCAGTGTGGCAGCTCCAACGCAGCGGCGCGACGGCGCCAACACAGTGGCAGCTCCCATCCGTTCCCCACCCTCCCGCCCCCTAGCGATGATGGCGCTAGCCGGCGAAGCTTCCTCACGACGTCGCCTCCTATTGGGGCCGCCCCCACCACCTCACGGCAGTAATGCCTCTAGCACGCCGTTCGGGAGCTTGCCGGCCGGCTCAGCAAATGTTGTAGCTGGTGATGATACAGTTGTTGAAGAAAATGATGACCATGATGAGTTCCATCCGGTCCAACAGTGTTACTGTGGCTATGTGGTTATGGTTCTAGTGGACTTGTTATGTATAAGAGAACTTGCTATGTGCCTGTGTTGCTTTATCTTTATGAAATTGGGGAATAATTATCGTCGAATACAAATATATTTATAATTATCGTCAAATATTTATAATCATTCTAGATTGCTAGCTAAATGTGCGATGTTATTGTTCGATGTTTCCGACAGTAATTATCGACTTCCGAACGATACCGACATGTTTTCGATTGAATAATTCCGTTTTCGATTTACTGATATTTCCGATATTGTTTCCGTTACCATCTTACCGTTATCGATTCTGTTTCAGAAAAATAATATGGTTGTGGTAATGGTTTAGGGTTTTTCCTGATCGTTTCCGACTGCTTTCACCCCTATCACTGCATCACCTTGATCACCACCACATATCTACACCATGCTTGTTGTCTTGTGGCCATGAACCGCTCCGTCGAATCACAGCCTTGCACCAATCACCAAGTCCAAAACTCTTTGTAAATTTGATCTGTCCATGCCGTACGCAACCAAGATGGCTCCTGCCATCTCTTCTACCGCATGGATCCATCAATTCTCCTGATCAAGTCTGTTTACTTGTTTTGATCTCCATGCCCTGCTTGATGTAGCCTGCAACTC